ATTAAATGTAGTCGAAAGTCCAAGACGTGACACATTTAATGGGCCAAAATCGAATTTCACAAATGGCCAAAAGTTGGACTTTAAGCGCATAATTTGTGCGTCAATGAACAGCGTGAAGAGCGCAACAGTAAAGCACGACAACACGAACGTAATTTAAATGATATTGCAGTTTATTTTTATCAACAACATTTCATATGAAATAAATGATGCCAAAGCAGGGCGCAGAGAGACAGAGCGGCCAGGTCTAATGCTTGCCTCTGTCTGACTCGTGCTCATAAACGTAAAACGCTTAGCATTTGAGACAAGCGAAAAACAATTGAAACAGATGAGAGTGATTAACTTAAAGATACCTTGTAAAAGACTCGAAACAGCTGGAAAAAATTAAATAATTTCTCTGAAATTAAATAATTTTGAATAATTGTTTTATAAACAACAAATATAGACCCGTATACAGATATCGATATTTAGCCTTTTGTGTGAACCAATGAGCACTTGATTGATTTATAAAATAAATCGAATTTGTTTTGACTGTTGTTATTTGGATTTTTGGTTATTCAAATCAAATTATCTACCAATTGTGCTAATTGGCGCAAATAAATATATCGATACCTATCGATTTCTGATCACAAACAGAAAAACTTGATTGAGCTATGCAAACAGTAACACAAATTTTGATTTTTAGTTATTCGACTTATCAAATCTGTCAATTGTGTTAAAGAAACGATATCGATATTTATCGATTTGAAGAAAATACGCTTAATTATTGAATATTCAATTATATTTGAATTTGGTATAATAGCTATTAAGCTGCTGCTTCAAAGACAAAAGCAGAAAATCGATATATATCGATCAATTTATGTTACTGAATCGAAAAAAAGTATATTCCAAACTGCCCACTCTCTGTAATTTATATTGATTCTATGTTAATATAATTAGGTGAACCCAAATTATCTGCCGGATTACATATTCTACGTGTCAAATCCATGTACATAAAAAGAAACCACCTTTTGGCTCACTTTCAATTTGTACAGAGTATATAAACACAAATGTACAGCGACACACACACACACACACACGGACAAGTAGAATCGTTTGTTCGCGAGCCACGGGCAAGGGAAGTGCTGAAGGGGTGGCAAAAAGCGGGCACGGCTAACAATGCCGCCAAATGAAACAACAAAAAACATGGCCATAACAATAAAAGCACAACAATAAACAGTAACAACGAGCACAACGTGGGCAAGGATGTGCGCGCTGGCAAGGACGTGGGCACAGGAACAGGAGCCATAGTTACGGTGCCACAGCCAGGACAGAGACAGAGATCCTCATGGCCATGCGCTTGCCAAGTGTACCAGATTAACGAAATGTTTGTTAAATGGCCCTCGCTTTATATTGTTGCTGCTGTTGCTGGTGGACAGGCGGTTAAGTGCGGCAAGTGGGCGTGGCGCTTAATTTGACAGCAAATGGCGCCACATTCCAAAAACGCAACATAGACAAGACCCACGCTAATAAGCCAGTGCCAAACGCTTCCGTTTAGCCTAGCTCTTTAAAGAGCCAGAGCCCCCAGCTCCGCTCTATGCATAATCTTAAGAACAAACCGTTTGCAAGTCAAAGCATTCGAACAGCTTAAGCAGACATTTTAATTAATTAAAAATAAAATAAAAACCAAATATTATGCACAAAGCATATTTATACATATATAGACATGTTTTCCATTTTCATTTTAATTTCTATTTTCATTTGCCTAATGCTTGTAAAAGCAGCTTAAAGGATAAGTAAAATATGCTCCTTGAGATAACAATGCTGGACAATTGCTTAGATACATATTTTTTACATGGTATTAGTCAACGTTTTTTTAATTTATTTTATTGCAACAAATTAATTTTTTTCTTGCTTCAATGTATTTTATTCAGGTAGTTTAAGGATCAAAATTATGTTAATATATTTCTATTTTTTTTTATTATTTTTAAAATGTTACAAATTTTAGTCCTACTTTTAGTTGCTATTTTTGCCATAAATTCTTGATAATTGAGGCTATTTAAAAAATTAATGAAACATTTCCAATAAATATTATAATTATATAAAAAAAATATTTATTTCTTATAGTAAATTATATTATAACATGAAGTCTTATAGTAATACCTATTCTGTACCTTTCTCCAATATTTAGTTTGTTCTTTTATTAAAATATCCTCAATTGTGGTTACATATCTTTTTTAATATTTGCGCCTCAATACACATGAATGATTTCTTTGTCGAAAGTGCAAAACTCAAAGCACAGCTCAATACGTTGTGGCAAATACGCACAACAACCATACAAACATTGTTACACACGTACACGTACACGTATATAAATATATAATACGCTGCCATATGTATTTGTATCCATGTATGTGTGGATGTAATTTCAATTGATTTGCCGTCAATTTCATTTTTGGCCCGAGCTAAAAGGCAAAAATGGCCTGTGGCAAAAAGTGAACACATACACACACAGAGCAGCAGCAGCTACATGACGCTAACATTGATGAATTATTGTGCCGTTGAAGCCCTCTCACACTTGTATACGGACAACACGCACAAATAAACACACACACATTACGCATACGCAGCATGTGCCAAGTCAAGTTGCGGCCGCCTGTCAGCAGCCGCTGCCCCCGTTCTCTTTGCCTTTGCCATCGTATTTGCCCCGCTGTCTAACCGCAATCATTCATCATCCAGTAATAACAACAACAACAACAACATGTTGCTTTGCTGTGGTTAGCCTGGCTAACCATTTTCCGCTCATTTTGCCTTCCTTCATCGCCTTGACATCGATATGGTGTTGATATACACTTTCAATGCACCGACATCGTTAATGTTAATGTTATTCTATCTATTGCCTCTGCTGCCTATCTCTGTTTGCTGTTTTACCTTCCTTCGCAATTATAAGTTTTGGTATCCTAAGTCCCAGAGGAGCTTCGGTAATCCGTCAGTTCGTTGTATGGAGCGTGAAATTATATATGTATATATATTTATTTATATCTATATATATCAATACACAGAAGTAGCAACGAGAAGGTGCGAATTGAGAACTTTAGTTATCTGTGTGTAAAACAATTGATTTAAAAACGTTTAAGTATCGATATCTCTATCGCTGGATAACTAGGTCGAGTATGCCAATTAAAGTTATCAAAAATTAACTTGAGCAGCGAATAAGCCAATAAATATGGGAATTGAGAAATATCGATAACACTGCATCACTAAATCAATAGGAATATAGAGCATGCCCATTTAAGTACTTTTGATAATGTTAGCGAGGGAATTTTAATTTACAATTTGGGAATTTCAAAATATTGATATCACTTTCATAAAAGCTGCATCAATGAGTTGATAGATATATGAAATATGGAAATTAGGAAAATCATAAATAAATAGAATAGTTAATTGGCATTATTAAAGTCATAAAAGATCAATTATATGATTTTCTTAACTTTCTAAAGTTCACAAACATTTTATTTAATTTGATTGCCAAATGGTTTACTTTGCAAATTGTTGCCATTTAACTTAAGCTAAACAGACATTAAAAGCAGCCCAAACAGTCGGCAAAATGAAAGAATATAAAAAGCTGAAACTGAAAAGTCATTAAAAATCACTTGAAAGTGCTTAGACTGCAATTTCACTTCACATTTGCGCCTCATTATGCTATACGGCGCAAAAGGAACACGAATTATGGCCAATGCATAATGGCCGTTAAAACTTTTTTTGTCTGCCCAAGCAATCTAAAAAATTGGAAAGAAACAAAATGGTAACAAGCTGCAAAAAGCGTGGTGAGCAAAATAAAAAACGAAAGAAAAAAAGAACTGAATAAAAAAAACTCACCCACACGCATACACAAAACGGAACGAAGAATACTGAGCCAAGGTAAAGGAGCGGCACATTAGACCAAAACTTTTACAATAATACATTTGGAAGCGACTGATGGCCAGCGCGTCCTTGGACAGGATAAATATAAAAGAAGAGATGTATGCGCCACACGCACACACACACACACTCAGACAAAATGGAATAACTACATAAAACAAAAAAAGTGAAGGAGAAGAAAGGAAAAAACGACAACTCAGATAGAAAATTCAGCAGAGCGCAGCTCCGCAACTGCGCGGCTGTCAATACAAAAACGAACAATTAGATGGGAGGCAACTGGACAGGGTGTATGTGGGTGGTGTGGGTGCACAGGGTGTACGGGGTGAGTGTGCATGCCTGCCTGCTTGCCTGCCAATGACAATGAGCCAGCGGGCAGCGCAGGACAAACAACAGGCAACAGGCGATTCGTCCTTCTGAATTATTGAGCGTGCAACTTGTTGAAAATCCAGGGATGTAATGGAGCCACCCACACACACACACGCTCTATCGCCAATACATAAATGTAACTTTAATTTACTCATTTCAACAGAACGTTGAAATATTTACCAAGTTATTTCCCAAAGGGAATTTCAGCATAGCGTGTGAAAAGTGCTGCGAAGAAATGTGAAATGAAAGCGCTAAAAAACAATTAAAAACTTTGCGAAAGCTTGTGAAGAATGCGCCAAGAAATGTGGATGGGCTTATGGCATTTTAATTGCAGTGGGAGGCAACTGAGGCCATCAGCCGTGACTAGATTGAAAATGTTTCGAAGCATCCTTACAATTTATTTTTTGAAGTGCCTGAAAGCGTAGCATACTTTCCAGGGAATGGAAAATATTAAATTTAAGCAATTAGGCAATTTAAGTATAAGTATAAAATGATGTAAAGCATTTAGTAACTGTTTTGATTTTAAATTTCCATAAATATTTCAACGTTTTATCACTTTGAATTTGAATGATACTCGATTATATTTATCGATATCGTTGGCTACCATTTTCGTCTTTCTGGCAACACCTTATCTGCAAATTCATAACAGCGCAGATACTGGCAACGCTTGTATTTGTTTTACGAAACAAATTTCTAACGGTTAATTAAGTTTCGAATTTTCTATTTTGGCATTCCAGACAATGTTTCAATAGAGATGGCCAAACTTTCACGACGTGCTCCGTCGTCTGCAGCAACGCCATCAACAGCAACAGGAACAGCAACAGCAACAACAGCAACAACTACACCAACGACTCGAGCAACTGTTAGTCATGCTCGAGGCTCAGCTCAAGCACAACAACTTCAACGCATTACCCGTGCATCTAACCCTAAGAATCCTCAACTGGCCGCCCTTGTTGATCCCGATGCCAATGGCATTCTACATGAGCCGTCATCTGCATCACCGGCACCGCCGGCGTATCCCAAGTACAACAGCAACACTGCCGCCGCTGCCACTACCCCCGCACCTATATATGCACACGCACCCACTTCCGTCACGGCCACGCCCTATATGCCACTGTTGCCGCCCGGCGAGCGCAATCTGACCGATGCGGAAAATGCAGCCGAACGTGCGCGCATTCGAGCGGAATTCTTTGCGACGTATGACGTGATGACAGGTGTACGCATCGCCGCCACGCTTGGCGGTTTCTTTGGCCTGATGGTGTTCCTCATCGTATGGAAAAGTCGCAGCAGCAGCAACGAAACGCTCAAGGTGCTCAAGGATCCGAAAATGGCAGCCGTGGCTGCTGTTTGCATGCAGGAGGAGGAGGAGCGTGAATTGCAAGAGGCAATTGTTGCCACGGGCATGTCAATCTATCCGGATGAGTATGACGCACTGGTCTACCGCCGCCAGCGCATGCTATCGCTGGGCAATGTGAGCGCTCCACCACTGCTCAATCGCGGCTATCGCTGCGCATCTGTAGGCAAGTCAAGAGAAGATGTATTTTCTTTACTCGCGCTCTAGCTAATTCTTTAACGTTTGCTCTTACAGGTGGCGTTGGCGTGCCTGGGCCGGTGGGTTATAGTTATTTGTTGGAGCCACCACGTCGTTTTTCCTATTCGGCAATGTCGGCCGGCGGCGGGGCGCTTTCTGGTCCACATGGAAGACGGAAAAGTGGATCCGAATCATCGCGCATCTTTAGCAATTATCCCATGGGCGGCAGCTTTGGCACTGACGATTACTTTATAGAAACGGAAGATGAACTGGAGAATGAGGAGTATATGCAGCGCGGTGCCCAGGATGAACAGGAGCAACTGCACAAGCGCACAGATTCCACACGCAGCAAACAGGGGTTTCTGTCTGTGCCGATGGCGGTGAGTGAGGCATGCCGAAATCGCTCATCTTTAAAACTTAACTTTGCCTCTTTACAGGGCCAGGACTCACGGCGCAGTAGTGCGATGACCTGCTGCAGCACGGATAGCTCTTATCTGGAGCGTCGAACTTCCGCCTATACTCTAGGCATGAGCAATCTGCCACCGACGCTGCAGCGCAAACTGTCGACGGCATCGCGCACATCGAGCATAGAGAACTGGGACTATTACTATCCGGACATACAGGTGATACAGCCAACGCCAAAGGCCTCACCGTGTCCATCGGAACGCAGCATACATGAGCCCACAGTGAAGAGTTCGACAATTGGCTTAGGCGCACCCAGCATTAAGCGTAAGCACAGTATCGTTTCGTATGATCCGGAGAGCGCACAAGCCGGACGCAAACAGCAGATACACTCGATCAGCGCTGACACAGTGGACGTGTATCCCTACAATCAGAGCGCACTCACGGAAACCATTGATTTAGGACTGCCTTTGGCTAAGCCAATGCAATCAGCACCGCCCACCAGCCATCACCAGCAGGCGTTTCATTTCTGCGACTCGCCCTCGGAGGAGCTGCGTCTGGGTCTGCGTCGCAAACTGACCCTGGTCGAGCTGCAGCGGAATGTGGAGAGTAATAACAACAGCTATCCCTATACAGCAAATGCAGCTGTGCCGGCCACGGCAACGGCCACCTCCAGCAGCATTAGCGTGGATAGCACACCCGTTAGCTTGGATCGGTTGAATGGCACCGGCAGTGTCAGCGCCAGTTTGGGGACCATTTCGGCCAAGGTACTGCAAAATGCGCAGGTGATTGAGGGCAAGCGTGCGCCGCTTGCTTCGTTAAGTTCCTTTAAGATCTCCTCGCTGGAATGCCCAGACTCGGAGCTGCGCTCGCTAGACGAGGACTCCGTGTTTGGGCTGGAGGAGAGCGCCGCCGACACGGACGATGATATGCAGCAGCTGAGCAGCGACAGTGAGGAGCAAAATCTGGCGCTGGCCGCTGCACAGGCAGCTCAACCGCTCAACCCCCTTCCACAACCTGCCGTGGTGCAGCCCATTAAGCGACTAAGTCTGGGCGGTGTGCCAATAATGGGTGGTGCGCGGCCACGGCGCCCACTCCTGCAGCGTCATCGCACCATAGGCGCTTCCTACAGCGACCGTGGTGCGCTGGGTTTACAGGCGGTGCCGCCGCCACTGGAAACGCATTTCGGCCCCGTAATCTGTAGTCCGCCGCAGCGACGGGCACAGCTGCTGCAGCAGCACAGCGATCCACAGACGACAACGACAACAACAACGACAACCACCACAACAACCGAGGAGGATACATGCTCCACGCTGAACACAGAGCTGGGCATGCTGGATGTTGGGACTGCAGCGGGAGCAAGTCCCTCTAGTGGTGTTGGTGGCGGTGAATCAGCCACCCAAACGCAGTACAGCAGCCTCAATACGGTCATCAGTTTGGGTCACTCCAGTCCAAGTCCACAGATGGACAATAATTATGTGTGTTCCACAAATTTTGCCGCTAGCCAGGCTCAGGCGCAAGCGCAGGCAGCCGGAGCAGCAGCAGTTCCACAGCATCTAGCACAACTGCCATCCAATAGTAGACTGGGCCACGATCCGTGCGCCTCTTCCATATCGGACTCAGTGATAGCCACCAGGCCGCAAACCATATGCATGCCCGCATCCTTAAAGGAGCGCATCTTGCGCGGCGGAGGTGCCAGCAAAAGTGCCCACAATTTGAATCAGCACAGCAGCGAGACGACAGCAACGCCAGCTGTAATGCTTGAGCTGCCACTCATCAGGCTGCCAACCGACGAAGACGAAGATGACGACGACGATAATGATAATGACTTGGAGCAGAACGATGGGCTAAGTGTGGAGGAACGTGATCCCAGCCTGCCCGGCACTACGAGAAAATGGTCAAAGGAGACGCTATTCTAGCCCACTTTGTGGCCGCTGCAGCAATGCGTGCAGTTCCATACCAGAGCTTAACAACTGACTTTTAGGGTAGTCAACCCGCTAGCTAGCAGGGTTGCCACCCACCAATTTGCTAGCCAAGTGGACAACGTAACGTATTTTGTTTGCATAGAGTAAACCAAATAGAAAATGAAATTCAAAATTAGAAAAATGCAAAAAAAAGTGTAAAAGCAAAAGAACAACAACGTATTCGTACTTAGAGACTGTTGTCTATTATTGTTAATAGAACTCTAAAAGTTAAGTAGTGATACTCGGATTTATTTTTCACACTATCTATAAAAAAAATCCATATATATATATATATATATACATATACATATATATATATATTTCTATATAGTACTCGTAGTTTGCCAGCAGCCAGTCTCCCTCACTTTATTTCGAAAACCAAAAACATTCTTCTACTAGTGTCTTAAACAGCAGCCAGCAAAAGAATTACAAAAGAATCATAATAATAATAATAAATACTTGAAGTATTGTAAATTAGAATTTTATATAGATTGTGCACAGAGAACTTTGCAAACTTTAAAAACAAACTGATGTACACTGACAGAAACAAGCCTAAACAATATATACATATATTCATATATTAATATATATATATTAATATATATATATAGAGTACATTTAGATGAGAACTTAAAGACCTCGATAAGCGTTAGTCGAACTATATCTGTTGCCTACTTTTCAAATGTGTTTGTTTTTCTAAAACTCTTTCTCTTTCCTAGCATTTCCCCAAAACTTTTACTGGAGACGAATTCGGAAACAAATTGTTAAAGCAAAACTTAATATAATTAAAAAGAAAACCAAAACATGAACTAGTTGTTGTCAAAAGAAAATATAAGCAAAATGAAAATATAGCGTTACTTAAGCATGTATGTTTAAATAGTATGAACAATTTCCTAACTCATCCCACCTACGCATCTCTATTTTTCTATGAAAATGCATTTGCTCCACAAGTGAGAAAAAGTTATAGCAAAATAATTTGTATTTTTCAAAACAAATGGAAAAATACAAAATTGAAATCAAAATACAGAACTAATTATAATGAATATATATATATATATATATACATATATATATATATATATATATATATATATATATATATATATATATATATATATATATATATATATATATATATATATATACATATGTAATAATGAGATTTAAACTAGAGCTGCATTTGGGTGGAGGTATTCAACGAAAAAACCTATTTAGAGACTCTCTCACATGCCTGAGCCTAATTTGTACCTATATCCTATTGCATAAGTGTGTAAATCAAGCCCTATTTAAAGCAAATATTTTTGAATACTAGTAAGTATTTTATACGAACTCAAGCAGGCGCCTAGGAAATGGAAATATATCAAAAAAGTAAGTCAACTAACCATATATACATATATATGTATATATATATATATATATATATATATATATATATATATATATATATATATATATATATATATATATATATATATATATATATATATATATATATATATATATATATATATATATATATATATATATATATAAATTGATTTACATATAAATATTTAATTGTTGGTTATATGCTGAAGTATGGAAAACATTAACAAAAACAAGTCAATGAGAATTCAACAAACGATTGTAGCGTTAAACTTGTTTCAAATAAGCAAATTAAAATATATATTAATATGTAGCTAAAAAGAAAATGTAAGTGAAAATAATAAGCAAAACTAAGTTGAGTAAGTAAAAAGTAAATAATAATAAATAAATCAAGAGTAGCAGAACCAATTGTTAAACCTAAGCTTATTAAAAAATAAGATCCAAAAAATATAAAAAAATCCGAGCTGTTGTATTAAATGAACAATAATAAATGGGTAAAACCAAAAAATGTATTGGAAAATGGTTCAGCGTATTCATAAAAACCAAAAAAAGAAGAAAACTCTAGAAATTACAATGTACAATTTACAATTTACAAATTTTATTTTCATTTTTCTATATCTCTGAAGCAGCTTTTTTTGCTTTTATACTTTTGTACTAACACAAATTTCTTATAAGTATTCCAAACTTCTAATTTCCATGAATCGTGTACCTCTAGCTACATTTCAATTGCAATTGGTAAAAATAATGAAAATAAAAACTGAGAAAAGCAATCGAAAAATTATACTATTAAATACAGTTATGAAGCCAAAGAGCTAGTAAAACAAAACTTAGTTAAATGTTATAAATATAAAACCAAAGAAAACAGAAACAAAAATTGATGTAAATGTTAGCGATATTATTGAGAAATGTGACAAAAACAAAAAATTAAAAAAAAAAACTAAAAAAAAAACAAAAATAAACCAAAAGAAAAATATACACAAAAAGTTGCCAAAGATGAGGTTGTTTCATTTTGTAGAGCATTCTAGTCTATTATTATAAATAAATACAGGTTTTAGTATCTATATTTGGTGGAGTAATCTTTGGGTGACACCACCAGACCGCGTCCTTTGCGCGCACCACGATACACCGTCTCCACAATGTCAATCATTTCCTGTTTATCCTCCAGCGGCCAATTGATCTTGTTGTTATTACCGGTGCCCAAATCAATCATAATATGTTTGTTGCGAAAGAAGAACATGACTGTGCAGGGATCGTACAATTCGTACATTTTATTGAAATCGGGCACCTCCGTTATATCCACCAAATAGATGACGGCAAAGTTTTTCACCTTCTCGGCTATGCTGTACATCACCTCGTCCATTTTCATGCACGCCGGGTCCCAATCGTGCCCAAAACGTATAACCTAAATAGTCCAAAGGTGTTAATCGGCCCAATTCGAGACTGCGCTGAGCGAGACTGCTCTGCGAAAGTTGCTTTACTTACAACGACGCGATCTTCCTCTGAGAGTATGGCCTGATCCACTTGCCAGCCATTGTGTAAATGCGGTAACATATACGACATCTTGGCGGATTGGTTTAATTAATATTATTGGTAAAGAAAACTAAACGTAAACAAATCCCGAGCAAATATGTCGAAATAAGTGTGACCGTAATTTATAATTAAGTTTGTTATCGATAATTTTTTGTCTGAATTACATATTTTTGGCGCTGCCAACTTATTTGCGCGCCAAAAGCAGGAAATTCAAAATTGAAGAAAACGAACAGCTTAAAAATACGTGTTTTATTAGCCGTAACTAGTTTGTAGAGTCCTTATCAGTTCAAATACTTTTGCTTAAAACTATCTATCTGTTCCAGCACTTTAACCGTCATCTCGTTAATGTACTCATCTCGACTCTGCTCTGTGTAATCGGGCAAGCTGCGCCGCGAGACGTAGTGATTTGGCAAGTTGACCTTGTGGCGGCCAATGGACTTGATGATCAGCCACAGAATGTAGAAACTGAACCACACGGTGAAGTACAGTGGAATGTACCAAAGTTTTCGACCAATATAGAAATAACTGTATTTCTTGACACGTGGTTCTGGCGGTGGTGGAGGAGGTGGTGGAGGTTCAGTTGGTGGTGGTGGCGGTGGTGTAGGCGGCGGTGGTGGTGGTGGCTCCACATGATGATGATGATGATGCGGATGGTGGTCGTAAATAATTTCTGGATACGAAACATCGGGATACGAGGGATAAACGTCTGGATAGTGATCGTGATGATGATCATGATAATGAGGAGGAGGATGCTCGACATAATCGTGACCATGATCGTGTTCAGGAAAGTGATCGGGAATGTGTTCAGGAATATGATCGTGATCGTGATCATGATCATGGTCGTGGTCTGCTGGCTTTTGTGCCGCCGATTCCGGATGCGCCTCTAGCCAGCCAGGAGGTGGTGTCGCATATTCCATATGGGGATCATACTTATTGTCGTCACTGGGACGACCGCCATCAGTCTGCAAAGGTGGCAGAGCTGAATCATTGCTGCCACTATCATTGCTGGCAGCAATCCCATCACCATCAGAACCACCCGCATCTGAGGGAGCTGCATCAGCGGCCGCATCCTTGCCAGCCTGATTGTTAGCAGGCGGTGCCATATCCTGCGCACTGGCAGGCAGCACGCCAATCACATCATCATTCCCAAGATCGTCGTCTGGCGTAGCACTCGGTGTGCTAGCAGCGGGCTGCTTGTCCGTATTACTAGGCTTTGGATAGGAATAGCCGGAGGAGCCAATTATGGGTCCAGGATACACATAACCTGCATTGCTCAAATCGTTGCCCGAGGCTGGAGGCAAATAGCTGGTTACTTCATCCGACGGCTGCGCAGCCTTCGGATCATCCGAGGGCGACGGATATTTGTTGTTAAGTGGTGGAAAGGAGTACGTATCCTTGCTGGACACATATGAGGGTACCACATTCGATCCAGCTGCCAGTTTAGCTTGCTGATGATTATGATGATGCTCATGATCCTTGAATAAATTCGAGGCAACAGTCTGACCGGGCGCAAATCGATCTATTTGACCTACGAATATAAAGTGGGTTAAAATCTGTGCTGGATTTTGGAGCATCCACTCGATACCCACCACGCTTGTAGCCACTGTTGGACGCCTTTGGGCGACCGCCCATCGAATAGAAGCGATTTTGTGAAGGACGCGGCTTGGCACTGAATTTCTGTGGACGCGCTGACTTAATCAGCGGTGTTATCAGCTGTCCAAAAGGATATGCAGGACGATAGTCCACGGCACGTCCAGTGGAGGCTGCCTCAATCAAACCCTGCGCTGGCGCCTCGCTGGCTGCAACCGGCAGCTCCGTTGTGCTTACGCTTAGAGGCGTAACAAACACAGCTGAAGGCTGTTCGACAGCTGCATCCGACTCCGCAGGTGCATCGGACTCCGCAGCTGGTTCCGGCTGATGATTGTAGGGTATGGGCAGGGGCAATCCGGGTGTCGTGGACACCACATTCTCGCTCGAATTAAAGCTGCAGAAAGTGACGTAGTTTATGCTAATCCTCAACCACGCAATTGTTTAACTCACATTTTGGGATATATCAAATCCGTATTTAGTGCTTTAAATATTCGCGGTCCCTGATCCGTTGCAGCTCCGTTGCCACTGACCATCACCTGAGAGTAGGCCTCAATCTGTGTTGGTAACAGGATGGAGCCCAGCAGCAGGCCAATGACCAAAAGCAGCGCACACTTTGCGCCGGCTCCTGGCATTATATTTCGATTTTATAGTAACACAGGACACTTTTTATATTTGATATCGTATACACTGTTCCTTTTTTCAATACCGAGCTTTCACGCACTCGTCATATCCGTTCGAGCTCCGTTAACTGTGTGCAATGCACCGCGCGATATTCTCGAATCCGCTGAACTGCGCTGCGTGGATTCGGTTTTATTTAACGCCCCAGAGCGATTTGGTATTTGATTTCGTTTTTTCATGACCCACTTAAGGTGCTACTAGAAGTGCTCTATATGCACGATATATATACTGCAAGATACACATATATATTATGTGGTTATCATAGTCCATGCGGCATGGACAGCACTTTCATTTCGACGGTCAGGTGTTAATTGATTCTTATTCCACATATGACTCTGCATCTGCCGTTATGTTCTTTAGCGGCGTACCCAAAATATGGGCAGGTTAGAAAAAGTCTCGCCGTCTAACTTAAGTGGAGCCAGTTCAAGCTTGGGCTGTGGCGTGCGTCTGCAATTTTGCAACCAATTAGAAAGCTTTTTGTTAACAACAATTTGTCTGCAAAGCAAACAATCAAAAATTATTTACTATAAAAGTTCATTCTGAATTTTTATATTAAAAGTTTTTCCTTCTCACTTTCCAATTTTCTAGCTATTTAAATATAAATTTTCCAAAAATTTTCCAACATTATAAAGGTTTATTTTTTAAGATATGTCAGCTATCTATATATATCAACATCTATCTGTACCTACAATAAAATATAAATAACGTATCTGGTACTGTTACAAAAAACAAAGGTTTCAAAATGAATTAACCCAATATTTTTAATTATTTTATAATGATCTCAAGGCACTTTAATAGAAGTCGTGTGTTTCCTACATCCAAAAAGAAGGTGCTAATTGAAATGAATACTATTTTCCTTACAAGACACTATGCCAAAGCTCAGGCCTAAGATCTAATCTCTCAAATCCAAATTAGAAGATATGTGGACTGAAATAATGCCATGGCGCATATGTCAACCAGAATCCATGGATGTGGGTCAATTGCTGATTCCAGCTATTGCGTGCCAGAGCCCATTAACACCCAGTCAGGCGTGCAGTCCGGTTGTTGATTCAGTTCATTCACAGATCGAAAGAAAAATATGGATTAAAGTGTACATAGTATACGGAAAAAAAGAGGAACGGAAACCGAAAAAGTTCTCCAATTCTTTTCGTTTCTTAAGCATAACTTTTACTTATTTACACGCACAAGTTGTCTTTTGTTTGTTTTATTTACCAGAAATTGTTGTATATTTCATATAATAATTGCAAGTCTTTTAAATGTTAGTACATAAAGTTGTTGTCACTGAAACAAGGAACAATAAAATCGAACGTTTTAAAAACTAACATAAAAACATGTTTTTTCCTTTCTTACAAGTCACAAATAGGTTGAAAATGTTGCAAGTGTTAAACAATAAAAGGTTTATCAAATATTCACAGAAACACAATAAAACTTAAATTATTAAATTATAATTCATTTGTCGAGCATGATATTGATTAAAAGAAAACGTGGGGTTAATGTGATAAAGCATATATGTACAGATCCTTGGCACATCCATGTACCAAGCTGGAGTCCTTTTGGTAACGTTTAAAAGGGCGAATTCATGCCCAGCTTGGTGCCAAAATCAAGACGCGCTCGACGCTGATAGCGCGCATTAACTCTGCAAAGCAAAAGTCATTGATTAGCATGTTTATAAATTCATCAATATATATATATATATATAGCTGCACTCACTTGTTCTCCTGCAGCTTGGCCAGCTCGCTGACAATGAGACTCAGCAAGCTGCTGCCAAAGAGCACGAGCAGCGGTATCCAGAGCTGTGGCAATAACTCTTCCAGCGTCTCATCCAATAGCATTTGCAGCGCACAGATAAAGCCGTGCAGCAGCAGCAGCGCCAAGCAGGTGAATCCCCAAATATGATTCCTCAATGGATTGCGCTGCCAAAGCGCATGATCACGATGAACAAAAGACAAAGAGACGAGCACTATCAATGCAGAGAGGGGAAGAACATTGATTAGGCTGCTTGTATATAAACAGAAGCAATAGCTAAAGCTGATAATATACACGTTTATCTAATCTATAAGAGTATAAATGGACTGTTTATACGAGCTTATCTTTATGTTAAATTAATATTTAATTTAGATAAACAAAAATAAATAGAAACCAAAATTCGGCTTATCACAACAATAACATGGTCACACTAGATTATATTTGTAATTTAGTATTAATAAGTCTTAAGTTTCGGTTAGGTGAAACCTAATCTATTATATATTATATAATCTGGCCCTGAAGAGCTGAACTCTTCTAAATTACACTTGTAATACGATAATAATTTAGTCTATGTTTAGCTAAAGTATATTTACCAAAGTGCAGTAGAACAGCAAACAAAGCACAGCTGCGCGCTATATAGAGACATTGATAAAATTCCACCTCAAGCTCAAAATCCTCAACCTCATCGGAGCTATCATCTTCCTCGCGATTTGCTAACGTTTGCGTCATGCACATCCAGTAGCCAACGAGCTGCAAGAAATTCAGTTTAATACAAGACTATTGATAAAACTAAGCCAGGCCACTTACCACAGCAACAACGGGTACAAGAAATTTACAGCCGTAACACCACATGACAAAGGCAAAGGCACGCGAATCGTATTCGGTTTGCTTTTTGCTGGTGGCACGATTCATAATCTTTGGATCGAGATCGATGTGCGCCAGTGAGATGGCTATCAATGGCACCGGCACACACATCAAATAGATGCCCAGCAGCGGGGTAAGCAGCGGCGGCAGTGAGAGGCACGCGCACAGCACATTCAATATCGATATGGAGCCGGCACAGCAGGCCCAGAACTGTATGCAATTCCACAAGCCCAGCGAGAAGCGGCGTGACAGCTCAATTATGGCCACCAGCGAAAGCGGGTCGTCGCGACAAATGGCTATCGAGCAGGGCAGCGAGTTGAGCAGTCGACTCAAATAGATGGGCGAGACGGTGTGCGGAGGTGATTGCATGGCGCGTGCCCCGCTGCCAGACTCTAGCAGCTGCTCACTAACAAATGGCTCATCTTTAGCGTCTTTACCCCGACTCTGGCGCTGATAGTGCAGCTTATTGTGCTGTATATTGGCCTCCGTATAGGCATCGACGTCCTGGCAGACCTGCGGATACAGCGGCTCCACAGCAATGCTGCAGTCGGCCTGCAAAAAGATGTTTGCATTGTCATTGCTCGCTGAGCTGCCCAGGCAGACGACAATCTCGCCGTAGGACTGCATAATATCCAGCATTTGACGCGTAGCCTCCGCAGAGCAGTCTGTAAATAGCGACACCTGCAGCGGCACATTGTCCACCTGCTCCAGATGTGGGCGTATGTTCTCTATGCCACGCGGCAGCTTCGCTCGATTCGACATATCAAAATTGATGGGCGCACTCTGATCGGTGCTCTCGGTCAGGGTGCTGAGTGAGCGACAGTTCTCATCCATGGCCGAGTCGAGTGAATGTCGCTGCTTATGCCGTTCCGGATCAGGTTCTTCGTCGACTGTTAGCTCCGCATTCTCATCATTGTCTTTGCCGGCATCTAGCTCATCAGAGGCATCTGAAGTTTCGACCGGGGCATTGCATTCATCGGGATTGGATATGGCACCGGGCGCCGAGCAGCTTAATGTTTTCGAAGATTCCAAATTGTTGGGCGGTTGGAGCAAGTAGCTCAGCTTAGGTCCATCCGGCGGATCACCTACAATATCAGTAGTCTGTTTAGCAATTGCCGTGGCTGTAGCATCAACATCGGGTGGCTGAATGTGCAGGACGTGGTCACTGGATGGATGAATGGCAACAGTATCTGTGATGGTGCTGGTGGTTTTGGTAGTGGTGGAGGTGGTTGTATTGTTCTCATTTATTATTTTACCCGCATTCTTCAACGACTTGCTTGGATTGTCGGTCTCCTTGGCTTTGCTTGCTGTTGGCTTCTCTCGCTCCGGCTCTGGTTCGCTGAGCAATGAGATGTGACAATTCCAGCCGGACTCGAGGCCCATCTTCTCGGAGAAGACACGCGAGCGCAGCTCGTTCTCCTTGCTAAAGTGCACAAAGCGTATGCAGGCACGCTCCAAACGCTCCACCAAATGCACAATGTCATTCTGCGCCTGATACTGCATGGTGACCATGCCAATAAACACCTGATGGCATTGCATCTCAAAGCAGCCCTCCACATCATTGCAATCCTCATCCTTGCTCTCCGAGAACAGCAGCGAGTCCGTGCTAATGCTGTGACTCAGCTTGACGTGATGGCCACCCTCAAAGTCACAGTGCGACTTATCCACATGTTGCATGCGCAGCTTCGACTCTGGCGGCAGCTCCAAATATGCAATTTGTCCATTGCTATGCAGCGGCCCACTCAGCGCTCCATGAATGCCATGACGCAGAGGTCGATAGGCGAACGCTGTGCAGTAAGAAGTCAAAGCGCTGCGCTGATAAAAGTCCAATGCACGTTTACGATCCTGCGGGGACAACGGACGTAAGTCCTTGCCATCCCAGAAATCGTCGCAGCAGTCCAATATGATGTCCGCAGTGCCCTGCGTGAATAGCGAGAGATAGCCGCCAGGGTTCTCACGCATTACCACCGACAAGGAGTGCGGAAAAGGCACCTTCACCTTCGTCGAGAGCTGCAGCTGACGTGCAAAGCGAATGTCCCGCCGCACCACATCCGGTTGCTGTGAAGTAAGTGGGAGACATGAGTGAGCGTGGCTAATGCTAAGAAATATAATACGCGGGTAGTCAGGCAGTAAGACTAGCCGCGTATCAGCCTACTGTTTAACTTAACTTACCAAATGCCTATAGCTGGCCAATTGACCCTCCAGTGCAAATCGATCCGTTGCATGATCGGTGAAACCAATCTGTTTGGCTAGCTCGCATAGACAGCGTCTGGTTTAGCACATTGTATACCACATATATATAAACATATAGAAAACCGATTAGAACTGGCACCAACTGCTGGACGTGCGAAGGTAGATGGCTGATGGCTGAGTGGGTGCGTGTGTGAGAGCATGCGAGGCACTGAAGCGTAATATATGCATATATATATATTGTATATATATATACTATATAGGGGACATGTAGGTGGGTGGTTGCTTGGATGGGGGCCGACTATATTTGAAGCATTCTTGGCAACATAATAATTTTTGTTACTTAAAATAGCATTAGAAAATAACATTAGACGAATGTAGTGCTACGCATGGGATGGACGAAAAGTGCGTTCCATTAACAAACAACAAACAATGACAATATACACAAAAAAAAAAAAAACAAGAAACAACAACATGAAATTAAACTTAAATATAATACAAAAATATAAATGTATATGTAACATGAATTAGTAAAAATAAAACATGTAATTTGTTATGTTTTGCTGAATTTGAACGTTGCAGTAGGATTTATGTACATAAATTAAATTAATTAAATGAAATAATTTGCTTCAAAGTGAGCCAATAGAGAAATATTCAAAATTTAGCTGAGAAATTATTTGCATATTCGAATTACTTAATGAATTTTTATTTGTTTGTTTATTGTACTGAAAATCAAAAATGATTAAATTTATTTAAGAGTAGTATAACTTTACCAATTGCATGTTTTGTTTATAGAAATATATAGTACTATATATTCATGGGGAGTTTATCAATCCAATTTGCAGTGTCGGGTGTTTTGCAATCAAAACAAAAATCAAAAATTATATCGTTGCCCAACTAAAAGCGTGGGCAACACACATTTGTCGCATATACACAATGCATATATGCTTTAAAAACAAACAATACAAGACCAAATTTGGCAAATATATATATATAATTATATATATAGATAACTGATTATCATAAAAAAAGAGTTTGTTCGGTTTGGTTAAGGCAACAATCATAGCAACGTTTATGGCAATGAACTACGTACCCATGCAATAGGCTTTTCATACTGGACTCAAACATCGCATACCGATTCGTGACGGGCACCAAATCTTTGTCAAGCATAGCCACGGCGCTGACATGACCACAGAACTGCGCATAGTGCTCGTGTGTTAACGGCGAACAGGTGTTCAGTAAAATGGCCAGACCTATTATGGTGAGAATGGTTTAATCAAATATCCATATCAAATATTCCCATGACTCACCCAAGGGCTTTAACGATTTAATGTGTGCCTTCCACTCGTGATCATCAAATTCCAGGCGGAAGGGACAGTGCTGATCGTGTGTGAGATCGAGTACTTCCGCCACTATGCCGCGCTCCTTGTTCTCCGGATCGTCAACATTGTCGCTTTCCGTTGACATAGACAGCTGGCTGCCATCATCCTGCGGCTCCTCTTCGGTGTTGTGCAAAAAGAAAACCTTTTCGGCAGTGGGATTTGGCCATGATAGAATGCCTTTCTTGTCCACACAGCAGAGCGCAGATATCGAGCCCAGCACTTGAACCAGATTCGCTGAGCGAGGCAACAGCTCGCTATCACCCTGCCACAGCTGCATCCAGATACGCAGCACATTGGAGCGCAGCAGCGAGATGCTATCATAGTCATAGCCAGGAGTATCTATATCTAAATCCTCAAACGACTTACTGGTGCCCTTCTCTAGTATGGCCTGCGGCGTTTTTAGGAAGCACTGCAGTCGCGCAATACCCCACAGATTCATGGATATCCACAGCACTGGGAAAATCAATGGCAACAAAGGTACTACAGCTGCTGCTGGAGAACCAATCAGCACATGGCGCCAATTGTGTTTCTCGTCCGAGGACAACCCATAGCCATGCAGACGCAGCAGGCCTGCAAAGAGAGTGATGACCAAAGCGCTAATAAAACCCCACTGCTGGATGTACTTGGTTACCAGCTAAGGACATAAGAACGGAGCGTTATATAAAGGAAGATTCTAATCTGCAATGAGCTCTTACCAGATAGCGTTGTTGATTGTAGATGGTTGGCGGTCGCTTCAGTGAGTTCTTTAGGCACAAACGTAAGTTCTCTAAATACGGCGTGCGTTCTAGGCAGCATACCAGATCGGGCAGCGGAGCACGTGCCATTGGCTTGACGGGCGGATCGCCTAGCTGTGCCGCTGAGATGCCATAGATTTCACTGGTATTGAAAAACCGTTTCGACTGCAGCTCATGGCAGGGCCCAGGCGATATATGGCCCGGGCGCAGGACAATATAATCTCCACGCACCAACAACGCCCAGGGCAGATTAACAATGTGTCCGTCTCGATAGGTCCATTGCAGTGAGACACATGGAGACATGGGGTTGCTCAGATGAGGATAATTCGAAGCTTGCCAGTTGTCGCTAAGATGCTGCTCGGCCAGCCGCAACTCGATCAAAGCATGTCGAGTCTTGCGAAAGATTTCCGTGCGCCTTAAATTACTTTCCCTAATGACCACATATAAGTCCAGCAGCATAATGATGAGCAAACAAATTGCAGGCCAAAACATGCCAGTGATGAAGAGAGCGCCGCTTGTCACCAGCGTCGTGCCAATTGATAACCAGCCGAGGGGACTATCGTAGCGCTTCATGAATGCGGCACGCAATTTACAATGATAACTAATTGAAGAGTAGGGGATACAAGTTGGGTATTATTACACTTAAAGGTCATTAATTGTATTTGTGCGCCCACCTCTCTGCTCTACTCGCCCGCTCATGCTCCAGCAGCACGTTCTCTATGTCCTCGTGCAGCCGCGAAAGTGCCACCTTTGTGCTTAGGCCGTATTGCATGTTTTGCTTTCGCGCGGACCTCGACGACGACGAAGACGACGGCGACGGCGACGCTGATGGCAAGCGCTTTGCTGTCTGCGGCAAGGCGTCTGCGTCAGCGTCTCTTTTGTCATTGCTACATTTTGGCTCCGTTACTGTCTCTGCTGCGTTTTGGCTCGACATCTTAGCGTCTCAAACCGCAAATTCGATATTACTTTCAGTTAGCATACGCCCGTCTAACACATTGTTTTTACAATATTTTTATGCACTGGCTGCTGCAAGAGTCGTGTGTTTATTTGTTGCTGTTCGCTTCGCTTGTGCGAAATACATATGTGCACGCGTTGCCAAATGTGTGTTGCGCTGCTGCCACTATTTGTATACAGTTGGCAACGCTATTAACTGATAAGGGGCGCCTTTAAAAAGAGATGGCACTCATCTAAGTTTGTTTACATTGTTATTGGTCTATCTCTATACATAATAAACTGATTTTTTATTTCAAAATACTCATTACTTTGTATTATTTACATCTAATATAAAACCATATCAGTTACTCTTGTCTCTTTACTATCATAATGACTTTTTCTTGTTATCACCATCGATAGTCAAACTATCGTGCTGTCTTTTTGTAAATTGCGATAGTTCTTGATTTAGTCCATCTTTTGTTGTTGTTGAACAGTAGATTAATATGTATACCTTAGTTTCTCAGTCATTTCGTGTATACAAAATTGACCATGGAACAGATATGTCGAACTTGTATGACCAAGTCATTAGCTCTGGTGGATATATTCACCGATCAGCGGGAACCTAGTCTGTCTGCAATGATCAGCGAGTGCGTCGCCTCCGTTAAAATAAAGTTGAATGATGGGCTGCCACAGAAAATTTGTCTTTCGTGCATTCGTGATATACAAACTGCATTTGCATTCAAGCGCAGGTGCGAGAAAAGTTACCAGGTGCTCGACGAAAAGCTTAAGAAAAAAAATAAAAAGCTAGATGCAAAAAACCTTGAAGTACCCAAGGACGAAACAGGCGACTTGTTGAGCACTGAGGGTAATTTGCATGAGGAGCGAGACAATGATAACAATTGCATATCCACAAAAAGCTCCACAGTTGCTGCACCTAATCACAGTCCATCTAGGCTTCAGCAGAAGAGCAGCGAAGTAAGTATACAGTCAGAATTACTGGAAATTGAGCCATGGGAACTGTCAGAGCCAGAAATGGACATTGGATGCATCAAAGTGGAAAAGGAGGATCAACCAGACGAATCAATCCCACAAACAGATGAGGCAAATAATCAAGAGGAGCTCGATTTCAGTGCTGTTGACGACATGTCTCCTAGCACAGATGGCAAAAAGTTTCAATTTACATGTCCACATTGTCCAAAAAGCTTTTCCCAAAAATGTCATCTGAATTCGCACATTCGTACGCACACAGGCGAGAGACCATATCAATGCCCGCACTGTCCAAAAGCCTTTAGTCAGGCCTCAAATCTGCGCAAGCACATTTGCATTCATTCAGGCGAACGGCCGTTCAAGTGTCCCCACTGCATGCGAGGATTTACGCGCCACACGGATCTTCAATATCACGTCTCCACGCATCCAGGCAAACAAACCTACAAATGTCAGAACTGCACAAGATACTTCATAGAGGAGTCCGAACTGGAGGAGCATATGCGATATCATAAGGGCGAACGTACTTACAAATGCCAACTATGTCCCAGAGAATATGTACTCGCCTGGCAGCTGCAGCGGCATATTCGCGCGCATACTGGAGAGCAGCCATTTAAGTGTCCGCATTGCCCGAAGAATTGTGTAGACAAAGGAGAGCTAGGCAGACATATACGGTCTCACACTGGGGAGCGTCCGCACAAATGTCCACAGTGTCCAAATGCTTTTACCCGAGCTAGTTATCTTAAAACACACATCAACACTCATATTGAAAGTTCGTAAATTTTAAATCTTTAACTTAAAGTTTAATCTGTAATTATATGAATATGTGTAATAATTAGCAATTATAAAATGTTATGTGTAATTTAAATGTATAAATAAACTCTAATATATGTCTAACTGTCATTTAAGAATATTTAAATTCAAATAAAAACATTAAAAGCTAATCCGATTCGATTACTTCCATAGCTTTTGAGAAATATCGATTGCAAATTCTGGTAAGTATCGATAAGTTAGACTGCGATAGCATACGGAAAAAAGTGTTGGCAATTGTTTGCATTAAAGAAATTTATTATTTTATGCCTGCGCGTAACAAAAACAAATAACAGTTTCTAAATGGATTCGAGGTTGGATGTAAGTCTTGAATCCATACAGAACAAACTTGCCACGGTTATTCTATTAACTATGTTCGTTTCATAGATGTTTGAGGACGTCAACACATCGCCGTCGCTGGAGGGCGACATGTCTATACCGGGAAAACGTACGACAACAACAACTGCACAACATGGAGTGCCCGAATACAATACCTTAGACGAGCCCATACGCGAAACGGTGCTGAGGGATATGCGCGCCGTTGGCATTAAGTTCTATCATGTTCTCTATCCCAAAGAGAAATCTAGTCTGCTGCGCGATTGTACGTCATCAACAGCAGTGTCTGATGCACTTGTATGCGTCAGCAGTTTTCTTTATAATGTTTACATTTTCAATTTGCAGGGGACTTATGGGGTCCTTTGGTGCTGTGCACCTTTATGGCCACCATTCTGCAAGGCTCCTCGTCTGCGGACAGCATGTCTGATAATGGACCCGAATTCGCGCAGGTCTTTGTGATCGTTTGGATAGGTGCAGCCATTGTAACGCTAAACTCCAAGCTACTTGGTGGCAATATGTACGTCGAGATCAAACAGCAACTCTACGTGTTTACTTAGCTAATAATACCTTATTTGGTCTTTACTACACAGCTCATTTTTCCAATCGGTCTGTGTGCTCGGCTATTGTCTGACGCCTGTTGCTCTTGCCTTGATCATTTGTCGCGTCATCTTATTATCCACCCAGACACATTTTCTATTCTTCTTGCGCTTTGTAACCACAACGATAGGTTTCGTTTGGGCCACATATGGTGAGTAGAGTATATATCATACCTTTATAACTTATAATTTGTTTGATTTCATTGTGCAGCTTCGTTTATCTTTCTGGGTCAAAGTCAACCGCCGCATCGCAAGCCGCTCGCTGTCTATCCCATATTTTTGTTTTTCTTTATCATATCCTGGCTGGTGCTATCCCACAATTAGTTCTTAGCTGTGCCTAGTTTATAAACTATATCAACTTTCCATTGCATAACCAAATCGATTGTACATTTATATATATTTTAATTTGAGAACTGTGACCATGCCATGTTTTAAGGTACAAATTGGTTTTTTATTTATTTTACTCTTAAGATCTTACAATGTATATATATATGTGTGTTTAAACATCCAAACTGTTGGCCGATGTGGCTACCTCGAGAGACATTTGCATTTGGACGCCGTCGCCTCTAGTGGGGCGATACGTTAACGAATTGGCACGGGCCTTGCGGCCCATAAAATGCCGTTCCACCCACTTGAGCAGCGTGTAGACGGAGTCAGTCGAGGGCAAACGATGATCGGCAGCGGTCTTAACAATATCAGACGAGGTAACTCGGAACGTGCGCGCCATACCTTTCAGGGCCTATTGCAGAGAAGAGTTGCAATTAGTGAAGGGCCTTTAGCTGACTGCTGCTTGGTCTACTTACCACCATGGCGTCTTCATCCGTCAGATCGTCGCCCACATAGATAATCTTGATGCGTTCGTTCCAATCAACGCCAAAGGATGTGCGCAATATGTAAATCGAAGCACGACCCTTGTTCCACTGTACAGGCGGACGTGCCTCGAGGGCGCAATGCGCCTCCGTTGCCCTAAAGCCATATTTCTCGATAAGACTGCGCGCCTTATCGACCATGTCAGGACGCAGCTGGGTGGGTGTCTCGCGATAATGGAAGGTGAGCAGCGATCCTTTGTTTTCCACCCAGGCGCCATCGCGGCACACCGAATCCTGTAGCGCCTTGAGCAATTGACTAACCTTATCCTCATACTCAATTGGCATGGGATGGACAAATTTACTGCCATCGGGATGCAGAATCTCCAGACCATGATTACCCGCATAGGTGATGCCTTCGATGCCAACCATCTTCTTAACATTGTCCACGTTGCGTCCAGAGATGACGGCCACATAGACATCCGAGTGATTGGATAGCTTGAATAGCACATTCTTAATCTCAGGCGAGAGCGTGGCCAAATCTGGATGAGGAGCAATGGGCGCTAGAGTACCATCATAGTCCAGCAACAGGGCAAGCTTGTGATTGTAGCCGATATATCTGAAGTAAAGAAATGTAAGTAAGGGCAGCTTCTAGAGACTATCAAAGAGCAACTCACTTGAGTAAGTAGTCATCGAAGTCGTCCACAGAGACGGGCTGCATAATGGTGGTGCCCACGTCGTCCATTTCCAGAGCACCTACGGCCTTCAAGAAGCAGCGCATCCAGTGGCTAACATCGCACTCGGCCTCGCGACGACGCAGGCGTGCCATACGTAGCACGCGCTCATCCTCGGGCATGGTCAAAGCGCGATGAATTACCTCAGCGGCCTCATTCACCTCGTACGGATTGCAGAGCAGCGCCTCGTGCATCATTTCACCAGCGCCGGCAAACGGTGAGATGACCAGCACGCCGGGCACCTCGTTAATCTGGCAGGCGACAAATTCCTTGGCCACCAGATTCATACCATCACGCAGTGGGGTGACCAGGCAGACAGCTGCATCGCGATACAAAGCGGCCAACTCATCCTGGCTGACATAGTCATAGATATAGCGTATGGGAGCCCAGTTAGCAGTGGTGAAACGGCCATTGATACGCCCGACTAGTTGATCCACTTCCTCCTTCAGCTCGCGGTACTCCTTGACGTCTGTGCGAGAGGGCACAGAGATCTGCAGCAAACTGACCTTCTCCTTGTGCTGTGGATACTTGAGCAGCAGCGCCTCAAACGCCATCAGACGATGCACCAGACCCTTGGTATAGTCCAATCGGTCCACGCCGAGAATAATCTGTTGCTTAGACGTTTTCAGCACTTTGGGTGCATTCTGGGCCAGATTGACAAAGCGCTCATAAGGTATGCCAATGGGCAGTGGACGGATGCGCACAGTGCGTCCGCCATGCTCCACCAGCAGATTGTTGCGATCCACACGGCAGCCCAGATTGCGCTGGCAGCAGTCCACGAAGTTGAGGCAATAGTCCTGGATGTGGAAGCCCACCAGATCGCAACCGAGCATGCCCTGCAATATCTCATCGGACCAGGGCAGCAGACGGAAGATGTCCCATGGCGGGAAGGGTATGTGCAGGAAGAAGGCCAAGCGACATGGCAGATTCTTCTCTTCGGCATGCTCACGCACCCAATTGGCGGCCAACATCAGATGATAGTCATGGATCCAGACGATTGGCGGATTCTTCTCGCTGCCGTTGTTCTTGGCCAGACACTTCTCCAGCGCCTCGATGGTGCGCACAGCGAAATGCTTGTTCACGGTCACATAGTCGTGCCAGTGTTCGCCTCCGAAGTTCGCACGCCCCGGCATCGAGTGGAAGAGCGGCCAGAAGATCTTGTTGCAGCAGCCATTGTAGTAGCTATCAAAGATCTTCGCATCGATGTTCACCGACACCACTTGATCGGATTTCAGGCCAGCTGTTGGCGTCTGATCATACGGATTCGATTCGGGTATCGCCTCATTGGGATCCTCCAGATGTATGCCCGACCAGCCGACCCATAAGCCACTGCCCTTGATGACAACCGGGCAGACGGCCGTAACGAGACCGCCAGCACTGTAAAAGAAATGTTCGTTTTAATGGGGCTTACTTAAGTATTTCTATAACTAGATGTTAAATGTATTTAGCCAAATGTCCTGATTGATTAACTAACCGACTAATATAGTGGATTGAAGATTGACTGCTTAAATGAGCGACTTGATGGCTTTCTGATTTACAGATTAGGACTACGGAGCTAAGTACCAGACTGATTGATTGACGCACTGTAATTGATTGATAGACCAACTGATTGACATGCTGGCTGGTCGATAGCGAGCTTTACCAAGGGCCTGTCTGACTAGCTGACTACCTGATTACCTACCTCACTATCTATGTATATGACTTGTTGCTTGAAACAAAGTTGTTCAACAGATTGATTGAAGAATCTATTCGAATCTATTGTAATCTACGGTACCACAATCCTAACCTAACTGACTAATGTCTAAATTATTGTGATTGATTGACAAAGTCATTGAACGATTGATTGAGCCTCCGTACTGATCTACATCTATGTACAATTTCTTTGGATGGTTCAAGGTTGTACAGATGATTTGTGCACGGGCAAAGCCGGACAATACCTGCCATATGCATATATGTTTATACCTTGCCTGTCATATATATGCAACAGATTCAGTCCCAGCCCCATTTTTTATGCAGAGTGCATCACAGTGACACTGACACTAACCGCGCTGATAAGAAACAAACCATAAAAAACAGCGCATGCCTGATACGATGCAAGTGTAAACAACCTCGACTCTGGCTCTGGCGCGGAGGCCAAAACCAATACCAACAAAAAAAAGTAGCGAAGAAAAAAATGAATCCCAACTCGAAACTAGCTACAAGTTTTTGGGTAGGGTCAGTGCGAGAGCACATAGAACTGGAAGATAAGCTAGAATCAAAGCTTAGCTGGGTGCACGTGATACTTTTTTCTTCTTTTATATTTTTTTCAGTGTCAGGTTCGCAGCTTCTCTCGTTACGAATGCCTTGAAATGACGCCTCTATTAGTGACCCCTTTAAAGCACTGTTGCCGCGTCGTCGTCGTTAGGCAGCAAGGGTCAAAACCGCGTAATGGGCCCCCACAGATAAGGTCTAGCTAGCTAATATATTATTGAATTTGTTTTCTAATTTCAAATAAAGCTTACTAGACTTTGCATTTCGAATTCCTCCCCCTCTCTCTCTCTCTCTGTCTGTCCCTCCCCTTCGCTCTCTGTGTATTTTGCGCCGTCTTATCAGCGTTGTCTTGACAGCCTTATAAAAGGCACTAATCACAAGAAGCGTGTGGAAACAATATCACGATTATATGGACCGCCGTTAGGTAGGTAGTTCAGTTCCCTAACGAGGGGGCTGTACACTCGCCTTATCTTCAATGCAAATTGAATTGATTTAGTTTTCGAAAGAAACATGAATTGAGGTAGAGCGTACTCTGGCTTGAAATGTTGCTTGCTTTTAAGCTTCTCCCTCTTGTTACGAGATTTTGATTAGCTCGTTCGCTGCCAATATTTATATTATAATTGATATTATTAATCTGTAGTGGTTTATAGCTTTGTTTTTCTGTCTAACGCCCAGTACAGTACTACACGTACGATGAACTTTTACCGTTGTTTCTGGCTGCCTTGTTGTGGCAAATTACACGAAAAATATTTAGAAATAATTGAATTTACTGAAATTTATAGTGTAAGGCTTTTAACTATAAATTGGAATAAAGATCCGAGTGTGTTGATTGAAAAACTATTTCCAATTTAAAATCTGTTCAGCTTAAGAATTTCTAGACGTGTTTTTCCTTATCTATAAAATAAATATATTTATTTGAAATATCTTGTTTTTAACTTTTCCGGCCATTTTTTAAGTAATATAAGCTCAAATATATTTTCACATTTTTTTTGAATTGACGTTTCAAATAGTTTCAAACCCGTAAACCATAGGAAATTTTTTTGGATGTTAGATTTATATATTAAAAAAATATATATATATCAAATATATTAAATATATATATATATATATATATATATATATATATATATATATATATATATATATATATATATATATATATATATATATATATATATATATATATATATATATATATATATATATATATATATATATATATATATATATATATACAAATCTATTTAATTTATAAATTTAAATTAATTTGTTTATCACTTTTTGGAAAAACTTTTACTAAATATTATTTTGAATTTATTTTTTTGAATATATTTTTTTTTTAAGTTTCATTTATATAACTTCTAATTTATTTGAGCACTTTTTCGAAAAATCTTATATTCCAATATTGATTAATTTCCACAATTTTTAAAGTACTCACCTAGCCTTGCGTTCCAACTCTTTGGTTTTGGCATTGCGCGTCAAGACGAAGGGCAAACGATTGGAGACAACGATCAGACTGGCTTTGGTCGAGGGCTCCCCGGCATTGGTCACAATGATCTCCGTGTCGGCCATTTTGTACGGTATATATCAGTTGCCGATATCGAAGCTATAGATATATATACAGAGCGTAGAGAAGACAATGCACACGAATCAATATCACTTGTCTGAAGAGTTTGTTTTAGCACATAGTTTGAGAGCAGCAAAATAATTTGAATAGGATGTTGAGTAGAGCTTTGTGGCACCTTCCGTTTGGGCCTTGGACTTGTGTGCGCTGCGCTGTGCGGCTCACAACTAATTAGTCTGTTGAAATGCACTGGCTATCTGGATGCAACGCTGTATACGTCTATGTGGACGGTGCTTATCAAAGAGCCACCTCTATATATACTCATATATATATTTATATATTTATATATATATAAATAAATAAACGGACAAAGCGTACGCTTACCGTAGAGAGATGAACAGAGAGAACACGCCGCGTTAGCCGAAAAAAACGTTGTAGCAAAGTCTCTAATTGCACAGCCAAATGCTCCTCCGTACACTTTCCGGTTGCTCTGACTTATCAGTGCGAAATGCAACTCGCAACTGGAAAAACAGTTTGATTTGTTCTTTTCCGGCTGGCCTTTTGAGATTCTCGCGGGAGCCAGCAGCTCCGTACCCAGCCAAAAATAGACGAGCACTAATGCCAATCTCGCTCAGCTCGCACTTTTCTTCAAAAATAAATGTGCTCAGGTTCCACAGAGTCCACAAAGTAAGGCTTATCAGAAAATCGCCGAGTCTATTCTATAATAGATGTGTATACGTTTGCAGCTCATTATGTATGTGCGAAAGCATGCTGGAAGCTTCAATAGAGTTCCACAATAGAGCAAAGATTAAAACTGCTTGGAACTTCGGATGAGTTTTTATTTTAATGGGCTACCTTGAGGCTCAAGGAGTGCAAAATTTACAGGGTTGAAGCTTACTGGGGAACAAGACTAGGTTTAGCAAGTCGGTTCTAACTGGCTATGTCCGGTCTTATCAGGCATTTGTCTTCTGTCAATAAGTTGTTATTCTTGTTGTTATTTATTTTGTTGCCCGAATTGTACACAAATCGATTTCTATTTTGGAACTCAAAGCTGCACTTGGCTGCAGGGAAATCACAAATTGTTGAGCTTAACCCTTACTTAACCTTGTGGTGACCTTATAGATGACAATTAATTGACTATTAAATGCTTAGTTTAATACCAGCTGTAAAGAAATATAGAAGGGGGAAAGGAGAGAGACAGACAGAGAGAGAGAGATAGACGATGCTGATAAGCGTTGTTCGTGCTGTGCAATCGCTTGCATTGTTTATGCAATGCATTGAAGATTTAGATTTGGCTAATTACGTAGGGATTAGGTACAGTTTCTAGCCGTTAGTCTGTGTAAGTGTGTATGTGTGCCTAAGCATCGCTGAACTTGAACGCTTGATCATGTCTGGCATTCATGCGCTTATCATGACGCTAAACCTACAGTTTACGTGATGCCTGGAATTTGCAATCACATTAATTTTAGCAAATCAATACTTAGTCATTTACAGTCCTGCATTTGATAACCCATTCAAGGGTCGCTTGAATGCGTTTATTTATGTTTTCATTTAATTGCTGTTTGACGCAAGTTATATTCAAATACGCAAAAAAGTAACGGCTGTAACATAGCATGCAGCTTGTGTCCGGCGCAGCTATCGATCGCATTTGTTGGCGCGCTTTTCTGCGCATATCGATAACTTTGCTTTCGCATTGTTTATTTACTTTGGCATAAATACAAACTAAACATGGATCCTTCAATTATTGAGTTTATTGGCGAGAAATCCATGATCAGCATAATTCCGAACTTCTCCAATGAACCACTACATCTAATTTATGGATCTGTGGGTCCGTTTCGCGCTGGTTTTCCAGTATTTGTGCCACTGTGGCTCGCTGCGCATTTGCGAAAGCAACAAAAATGCCGAATTGTGCCTCCCGAATGGATGGAGCTGGAAACGCTGGAGGAGATTAAGGAGGAGGAGAAGCGTTCCAAGTGAGTCACTAAATGACAGCCAGCTATAAATTTTACTCAATCATCTGTTCGCATTAGATTCTTCACCAAGATGCCCTGCGAGCATTATATGGTCGTCGCTCAACTGGTCATGAGCACAGCTCCAGACGATGTACCACGTTGCGAGGAACTGCGCACTATTATTAAAGACATCTTCGACATACGTGAATCGAAGCTACGCACCTCCATTGATGCATTCATCAAGGGCGAGGGCACTTACGCCAAACTGGATAATTTAACACTGTTGGAAATGCACAGTGTGCGTCCCATTCTACCCTATTCCCTGGATCATATAGCGCGCTATCAGAGAGTGGCCACTGCATCGCAGCGAGATACCTCCATGTTAAGTTTGAATACAACGGGCGGCGCTTCAGGCACAGGCTCCATGAGCAATTCCCTTTTCTCGCAGTAAAAATTGGTGATAAATAAGTTTAAGTTTAATTGTAGGTAAATAAATATAAAAGAGATTAATCTTGCTATACTGAGCATCTTTGACACCTTTGCGATCAAAGAAGCCTGTGAGTCAGTTAGCCGATCTATTCAATGACTTTACAATTAAATATATCCAATTTATATTTAAGTTTTTCCAATTGTAAAAATGATTTTATTTTGCATTTGGTTATTTGTTAACAGTTTCGGGATGTATTCGCTTTACATGCCTGCATAAGTTATCCCACCGCGGCGTTACAAATTTGCAGCCAGAGATGATGCAGACATGCAGCAGGACTCCTTCATTAGGATTCTCCATGTGCTTGACAATATGTCTCTTAATATTATAACAACGAGTCGTACGATAGTTGCAGCTATTGCATGCATACGTTTTAGTTTTGCCTTTCTGATAGGTTCTTCTGCAATAAATCAGATGATGAATAAATTTAAATCTTTGGGAAATTATATTTACTTACTTTGGCTTAACAATATTTTGCTTATTGATTTTGGTTTCATTAGTTGACTGGGCTTCACTTATTGGCTCTGGGTACTCTTCGATTGACTCGCCACACTCATCATATGCCCATGACGTTTGGTCATCATCTTCTACTGAAGCAAGCTCTTCTTCTTCTTCTTCTTTCTCTGGATATTCAATACTTGGCACAGCTGACAGATTGTCATCCTCGCTTAGCTCGGGGACTTCTTGACATGGCATTGAAGCAGCTTCTTCGTCATTTGACAGTGTCGTGGTATTCTCAACAAGTGGCTTTGTAGCACGATGTATTCCCTGCCTATGTCGTATAAGATTATCCCAGCGCAATGTTGTGAAGGAGCAGCCAGCATATGGGCAAATGTGCTGCAGCTCCTTTGGAGGCTTTTCATAGTGTTTGGCCAGGTGGCGTTGGACATTGTAGGCGCGATTGGTTTGATAGCTGCATTTTGAACATTTATATATTTTTGATGACTTAGGCGCCTTCTTCGGCCCTATGACTATCACATCATCTTCCATTTTCTCTTTTGTACAATTGAAGCTAAAAATAAGAATTCACATTGAGAACGAGCTATTACAAAACCGAAGCACATACCTCCAAATATTAGAGTTTAAGTAACATAGTAGATGCAGGAGCCAATTTAGTTATATATTGTGACTTGTTTATTAGGAAGAAAGCATAAATGAATATAGTGAATTTTCTGTTTTCTTTATTTTATTTACAAACGCAACACACAATTCAAACAGCTGAGTGTAGTGTGACCGTATAATTTAGTGGTCACAACAACTACTGTTTGACACAATGGTGTACAGTTTCTGGTTTCGTGGTGATTGGCAAAAAAGCGCGTAAACCGAAGACAATTTTGAAAACTATTAGGAAACTTTTAAGAGATATATAAAAGTTTCTCTATATATATTTCTGTTCAAATGTTTCAGTTTCTTGGATCTTTTTGAAATAGTTGGTATTCATTGGAGGCACGATTTGATTTGTAGTATAAATTAATTTAAATACATTTAAACCACATGCTTTTTTTGTTTATTCAATCAATACCCTTAGAAGCTATGATTGTACAAATAAGTTTTAACCCAGTTCAAAAAAACTTAAGTAAATAATAACAAAGACAGAGCTATACGTCTTTTGTGCAATATAAAACCGATAACTACGTAATCGATTTTACTAACTGCCGTATCGCTATAACAGCTGTTCTATAAATACAATGTCCGCGTTGCGCTGTGAATGCTATCTGTGACGCGGACAGCAGAAAATTGTGGTCTACTGAACTATATTAGAAATTGAAGAATATAGCTATAAAACAAGATGACCGAGCCTGTGGCAACAGCAGCGGCAGATACCGCTGCCGTTCAATCGATGGGCAATAATAAGATACACTTTTCCAAGGAAGTGAAGCAGGTTATAGACAAGGTAAGGGAAAACGCTAACAACGTATGCCACGGTTGTGACAACTGTATTTATAATTAAAATAATCGTTTCTTGTAGGTGTTGAAAACAGACGAACAGGATCCGATGGATGCACCGGATTTCAATACCGTGGACTACATTAACCAGTTATTTCCCAATGAGCAATCGCTGGCCACCATCGATGAGACAATTCAGCGAATGCAGTGCGAAGTCTCGCTAATTGATGATAATATTCGATCTGTGGTGCGTGGGCAAACAAATACGGGCCAGGACGGACAACTAGCGCTGTGCGAGGCACAGAAAGTCATTAGTTCGCTGTTCAGTCACATTATTGATGTGAAAACTCGCGCCGAACGTACAGAAGAAATGGTCAAGGAAATTACCCGTGATATAAAGCAATTGGATTGTGCGAAACGAAATTTGACGTCAGCTATAACTACGCTAAATCATTTGCATATGCTTGTCGGCGGCATTGAGAGCTTGAATGAGTTAATTGTGCGTCGTTCCTACGGCGAGATTCTCAATCCACTGCAAGCCATTACAGAGGTGAATCAGCATTTCCAACAGTACTCGGACATTGAGGAAATTAAGGTAGAATATCTAACTAAGAGAAAGTCTTTCTACTAATCACACAAATTGTTCGTTTAGAATCTCTCGCAAAGCGTGGATAAAATCCAAGTAACTTTGGCTCAACAAATCACAGAGGACTTCAAGGAAGCTTTTGCTAGTAAGCCCTCCACGCAGCACAAATTGGGCTTAAATCAATTGGCGGATGCTTGTAAGGTGATGTCTGTGCTGGATGTCAAGGTAAAGAAGGAGCTGCTTAAATGGTTTATAGCCCAGCAGCTGGAGGAGTATATGCATTTGTTTCACGAGAACCAAGATATTGCCTGGCTGGATAAGATCGACAAACGTTATGCCTGGCTTAAGCGTCATTTGCTCGATTTTGAGGATAAATATGGCGCTGTCTTTCCGCTTGATTGGGAGGTCTCGGAGCGTATAACAGTAGAGTTTTGTCGCCAGACGCGTCAACAACTGTCGCAGATTATGGCCAAGCGATCGAACGAAATTGATGTGCGTCTCCTGCTGTTTGCCATTAATAAGACGCAAGCCTTTGAGCAGTTGCTCTCCAAACGTTTTACGGGCATCACTTTAGGTGCCACAGCCGCCGAGCAGACGCGCGTACTTACAATTCCAGCGGCAACTGAGGCTCCGCTCACCATAACTGTATTCCATGATCAGATTGGCCAATGCTTCAAGCCACACTTGGATATTTACATACGCAGCATTGATCGCAATCTATCCGAGCTGTTAGAGAAATTCATCGAGATGTCAAAAGAGCCATACAAGTTTGCAGAGGCTAAGACTACAGTCTATCCCAGTTCGGGTGATCTGTTTGTCTTCTATAAGAAGTGCATGGTGCAGTGTAATCAGCTGAGCAACGAACAGCCCATGTACGATCTGGCCTTGGTCTTTAAAAAGTATTTACGTGAATATGCAGCCAAGGTGCTGGAGGGCAGCACGCCAAAGGTGGTGACCAGCAGCACGGGCAGTTCCATTGGCAAGAGCGTTTCGATGTTGACCCGCGATATGCAGAATCTGTCCACAGCCGCCGGACAGGTGTTTCACAACTTTTTAAAAGAGGGCGACAGTCAGCGTTTCGCTCGCGATGATCTAGTACGCATTTGCTGTGTTCTCACCACTGGCGAATATTGCCTCGAGACTGTGCAACAACTGGAGGATAAACTCAAAGAGAAAGTGACGCCTGCCTATGTTAGCAAAATAGATATGAGCGAGGAGAAGGATGTCTTTCATCGGTAAAATAACCGCCTATTAAAGATATATATATATAAATATAAATTCCAATTCTTCTGCTCCCACAGCATCATTTCCAACTGCATACAGCTGCTCGTTCAAGATCTAGAGGCTGGCTGTGAGACTTCTTTGCAGGCCATGGCCAAGGTGCAGTGGCAGCATATCAGCAACGTAGGCGATCAGAGCGCGTTCATTAGCAGCATTTGCGGCAACTTTAAGCAGACTGTGCCCACCATACGCGATACGCTCGCTAGCTCCCGCAAATATTTCACACAATTCTGTCATCGCTTTGTCGCCGCTTTCATACCCAAGTTTATCAATGTGCTCTACAGATGCAAGCTGACCCTATCGGACGGCTCCAATAATGTGCTGGGCTGTGAGCAGCTGCTGCTGGACACGCATTCCCTTAAGACGGCACTGCTGGAGCTGCCTTCGGTTGGATCGAGTGTGAATCGCAAGGCGCCGACCAGCTACACCAAAGTTGTGGTCAAGGATATGACGCGTGCCGAAATGATTATTAAAGTGGTCATGACGCCTGTTCAGCCGCCGGCGCATTTTACACAGCAAGTGCTTAAGCTGCTGCCAGACATAACCATAGCCGAATATCAGAAAATATTGGACATGAAGGCGGTCAAGCGTGTCGATCAGCTGCAGCTGATTGATCTGTTCAAGCACACAGCCTCCGCGGCGGCAGTCAGTGGACTAATAGATGCCCCAGCCAGCGAGGAGGAGACACCAACTGTCAGTGAATCACCTGCGCTTACCACAGAGGAGCCAGAGGCAATAACAAATCCCTCAGCTGATACCACAACGGCGGCAGCCACAACTACTGCCAATGCCACGCCCAAGCGCGCCTTCATCTTTAGCGTGGGCAGCTTTACGGGCAGTGCGGACAAGAATGCCGATGGTAGTTCCCAAACGGGCATCCGTAAGCTGGAGAGTTTACTAAAGAAACGATTTCCCTAGTCAAATGCGCTAATTAGTAAATAATAAATCTAACATTCCATTCCACTAGTTCGATATAATTCTAAAACGAAACAAAGCTGTTTCACTCGAAAAGCCTAACTTAAAGTTAGTATTCTTAAGAACTGACAAGATTTCTAATATAATTTTAAAAACATTTTCTAAGCCTTCATAAAATTGATAATATTAAACGATACAAAATAAACTAGCTGAATATTATTGAATATTTGCTTTTATTATAGACATTTGACTTCTCTTAGCTTTAAAAACATTAGCTTATGTGACTATATTGAAAGTTGTATTCTTAAATGATCGTTAATGACTAAGTGTGTCGCTTAAAAACTGTGGAACTCTTATATAACTAGGGCTTGCTTTTATTTTATGTACATGCAAAAACTAAATAAGGAAGTTTCTCTTCTTTTTCCTTTTTTGTTTGTTAAAAAACCGTACGATCTATAATTTGAAGATCTTTTGAAAGTTTTGAAAGTCGCCAATGAGAGCGCACAAAAAAATACAAATCTCTATAACAAATGACTTAAGACACGAACTAAATTAGGGCGTAAAATTAATATTTGAATATTTGTTGTTGAAATTTTGTTCTTTTCGTTTGTTTTTATGTTTAATATGCTTTGGTTTAATTCCAGCACTGCAAAACCTATATAGTTACTATATATGTATATATAGTGTATATATACGTGTGTGTATGTATGTATGTATACAAGCTATATGACTATTACGCGGTAGGCGTGGCTAATCAGCATTCAAAGGCCAGTTAGCAAACAAGCGGCTAACCTCGCCCGAAGCCGAAGCTAACTCTTCTACTTAAGATCTATTTACACAGGGCTAGTCTGACACACACTCTCGCATTCAAATACACGGTATTTAAGGAAGTCGAGTATGCTTAAGGCTACAAATGGAGTCGTCCTCGATGGTGTCCGCTTAGACGGCCACAATTTTGCTGGGATCGACCTTGACTCGCAGAAAGACGGTATCGGCCTTGATGAAGGGTCGGCTATGCAGCAGCTCGTGCGAGATGAAACGTGGAAAGCCGAAGCCCAGCTGATCGGGCTCATTCGATGGCCGTTGGAAGTTCTCCCAGGTTGGATCGGGCACAAAGGATTCGGCTACACCGCCCTGGCCGCTCTGGGCGCCCTGCTCGAACAGCGTAAAGGTGATGGAGTGCGAGAAGGGCCACTTGAGCAGAGCATCATATTCTCCCGGCAGCACTTTAATATAGACCGAGACATGGGTATTCTCGCCGGGTCCATTGCCATTGAGAAACATCGAGGCCTGCAGCTTATAGCCGTACTGTGAGGTGTAGAAAGGCGGCGAGACCAGCTCCAAGCCATCCTTGCCGCGTGCCTCGTTCATTTTGGCCGACCAATCGGTGATCTTCCATAGCAGCGTGCCAGTGTAGTTGATGGACAGCTTGGACACTGCCGACTTGAGCATTTGTATCTGTTGACCCTGTCGGCTGCTGAGCGCCACCATCAGCGATAGATGAGCCGCAGCGCTGCTTTCCAAATGCGCCTCCAGCAACTGGCGCGGTCCCTTGAAGCGGCAGCCGGCCTCCTTGAAGCTGCAGGCCAGAGCCAGCGATTGGCATTCGTCACGCAGATGCGCCTCCAGTTCGCCACGAGCTATCGGACCTGCATCGCAGCGCTGTGGACAGGCCAACGGAGTGCGCGGACACTGAGCCGCATGCAGCTGCAGCGTGTCGGCTGAGAATTCGCGCTGGCAGTGAGCGCAGCGACGCAAACGCTTGGCACAGTCCTTGGACTTGTGCAGAGTCATGCGACCGCGCAGCACACGCTGTCCGCACTTGGCCTCGCAGTAGACCGGCTCCTGGCCACAGCTGCCGTTGTGCTCCTCCAAGCCAGCGCCAGAGAATTCGCTTTGACAGAACTCGCAGCGAGTGCGACGCATCGTGCAGGTGTACTGCAGGTGATCGGTCATCATGATGCGTGGTATCTGCGCGCCACACTTGTTGGGGCACTGGGTGGCGTCGTGCTTGCATGTGTTCAAATGCGCCTTCAGCTTGCGCAGCTCATCCGACCACTTGCAGCCCTGCTTGTGGTGTATGCAAAAGACTAGCGAACCCATTATCGCTTGCTTTGGATCGGGACCGGGATAGATCTGCAAGGAACAAATGAGAAAAGCAATTAGTGGGTGTCTTTAAGACTTACAGATATTTATTGATAAGAAAGCTGCGTGAAAAGTATCTTGTAGATACAACTTAGAGCTGTATCTGGAAGATACAATATATAATATATATAGTATATAAGAAAACTAGCTTGCAGATACTTTTTCTATTGTAGTATTTGTGTGTCAAAATATCTTGTGAATTTCATTTTTAATAAAATCATCCTTTGCTCAAACTTAATTTCTGGCTTTTCTTAACAACATATTAACATATTTTACTATGAATAGAAATGTATCTAACAGATGCAATATCAATCAGATAGGATTTTCTAAAGCTCATGCCTTATATGCATTCACAGAGAGCTTTTTCAAGTGCTAGGCTTAAAATGAGAAAAGTATCTGTTAGATACAAAGTCTTTAGTGCCACTTGGAAACTCAAGAGCCTATCGAATGAATGCATATGTTATGTCTTCAAGTGCTATTGGATAAACAAAGTATTCAATAATAGCTGTAGGTATATATTTGCAGAGTTAACAAAGTATCTATTAGATACAATATCTTCAGCACTCACTTTACACTTGACTTTGCCAAACCGTTGCCAAAAACCCATCGAACTCAACGCCCGAACTTGCAATTCTCGACTGTTGTAGGTGCTAAGCTGTGCGAACACTTTTATACCTTACTCTGATTGATTTGTTCCTGTTGGCTGTTTTCGTCTAGCTGCTGATAAGCCATATTTAAGGATGTCTCTAGGTGTTTTATCTACTTAGCCCGCCCAACCTCTTGATAGGTTTTCTGGTTTCTTTTTTCAGTTTTTCAGTTTTCAGCTACCTAAAGCGAGATTTGCTACCTGCAGCTACCACACCTCACACTTCTAAGAGTCGTCAACTGTTTACACATGACTGATCATGTTCTTAGACACACAAGCACACACCTAGACATAGGCATAGAAGCACTTCCTGTCTCCCATTTTGGGTTTGCTTGACTGCATTTTGTGCATGCGCCTGGGCTCTAGACGCTCGCTGCCCGCTGCATACGTTGCTTCTGCCTTGCCTGCTTTTCTCTTAATTACAACAACGAGAACGAAAAGAGGGCGTGGCTAACAGGGAATGCAGCACAGCAACTAACATCCGGCGCGTCGTTACAATATATATATATAAGAAATTATGCGAAAATATGCAATCTAATTAAAAGGAAATTTCATGAGAACAAAAAATGTTCAAAGCATGCGACAATGTAAATTCCTGGGCTGATTGACTGACTGATTGGTTGATGAAGAGTGGAACCTAAACTGAAGTTCAAGCAAATATCGGAATGTGCGAAAAAAGCGAGAAATGTTTGTATCTTTTATGAAAATGGAAATGAAAATGAAAATGAATTTGAATGCAGTCTTTGCTCAGGCAATGCCGGATAATGCCAGATAACTGTAAGTATATATATATATATTTAAGCACACATGTGTGCTTATCTGTGTGTGTGTGTATGATCGATACCCCTTTATTTCTGCCATGAACAACTCTGCAGCTCCTAACCGAGCGTCGCGACATTTCCGGTTGACTCTTTTAATTGACCTTATCTGCAGCTCGACGGCGCTTCGGACTGAGCGTGGCTTGACTTTTGATAAATGAACATGTCTCGACATGCCGCACAGGCCTACAGCAAGCACAGCTCCCAGAGAGACAGAGTGAGAGAGAATGACATCAAAATGAAAGATATATAATAAGCAATTAACACATAAGCCGAGCCCTGTCCGGGTCGCTCGCTCGCTCTGGAATGGGCGTAAAGCATGAAAAAATAATAATAAAACAAAAAATGAGAAAAAAATAATAATAATAATACACACATGCACATACACACATACAGCACATTTCTATGGAATTGCCTTTTGCTGGTAATTTAATTTAGCTTGAAAACAAGTTTTGCGCTATTCTTATTTCATATACATCATTTTTTCTTTCAACTTTTATGTCAACTAAAAAAGAGCATTAAAAACTGAACTTCAGTTTTTTTGGTGAACTCCAAGAACTCGTGGACCAATTAGCTAGAGTTATGAATTGGGTGTCGGACATTCATAAAGCTCAGACACATCTCTCGATGCATAAACAAATTTGAGGAAATGAAGTTTGTGTAAACATTATGTAAATGATGTAAACATCAATTGAAAACTGGAGAAGAGATCAAAAGGCCGACAACTGTTTGTCAACTTGGAGAGCGACGCCAACTGTTTACAAGGAAATCATACAGGAACAGAGACGAGGCTCGGACAGGGAGAGAGAGAGAGTGGGAGGTAGCTAGAGATCATTGACTTTTTATACAAGCAATTGACTCTAAGAGCCTCAGTTTTGGACCACACAGCACAGCTTAAAGTGATTATATACTATATAATTAAAGTGAACCGGAAAAGTATATAAATATAATAGCTTAGTCCGATGTCAATTCGACAAACAAACTGAGCTGCCTTGACGATATAAATATATAAAACTCTGTTGGGGCGTATTTGACCACATGCAACTCCAGTTAGATGACGAATATAACGAATATCACTTAAAAAACAGTTTGCCAAATGTTACGTAATGCTAAACAAATCCATTTGCTGCACTCAAACCATGTTATATAAAACTCGAATCATTTAAAATTCAATTTGTGCGTGCAGACCATGAAAATGAAAGCGCGAACAGAAAAAAAACAATAAACAAAACAAAACAAGACAAAACAATGTTCAAAATATAAATGAAAAAAAGCTCAACAAAACAAGCTTAACAATTAAAAAAAAGATGCTTAAGCCAAATTAATTAATACAAAGAATGAAGCAAAAGAGAACAAATACTTTTTTCATTGACTGAAGATTAGGAAGGTTTTAGGAGCTATTTGCAGAGTATATATATTAAATATTGATATGGATAGAATGTTTATGGAGTTAGTATATAAGGTATGGATTTAATAGAGTGTAGATGGTGTATGGATAGTAGAGATAGCACAGATAGTACAGATAGTACATGTAGTATAGATAATATATAGCATATAGTATAAATAGTATACTCAGTATAAAAAGTATATACATATTTGATATCTATATAACAATTAATCTAAAGATCATCTTGTCTCTAAAGTACCTTGAGCTAGCACTAAATTATACTTAAAACAAATTAAGTTGACCCTAAACAGCAGCAATTCGGGTTTACTTCACTTAGCAAAAGGGCTGCCATGGAGAAGGAGAGAGAAGAAAAGTAGTATAATAAACGTGCAACAGTCGCCAGTTTTATTTTTATGTGGCACCGGCTGCAAGCAGCACTTGGCCGCACTTGGAACATAAAAATTAAATTTTGAAAGCAAAAAAAAATTTATCCATTCTGATAATTTTAGAAAATGCTGGCGGTGCAACGGTTTCTTCGCTGAAGAACAACTCTTGGCATGGGTCTAACATAATCCCACATAAAAGCGGCAGGAAAAGAAGATGGTGCGCGTCCATAAAGTTCAAGGCGCTCGTAGATATAGTCGGGAGCTGCTGACATGTTTGTTTTATTTTCGTTGGCTTTTTTATGGGTTGTTCATAGGTTGGGGGTGACTTCTGGACCCAATCAGGCAGCAATTAAATCCGATGCCAACGCATTGTTTATGTTATTGTTGAAAGTTTCTCGAAGCACCAAATAAAAAGAAAAGTTTTTTGGGCATGTTTTCGACATTATTAATAGACAAACTTTGGGGAGGGTGCCAGAGATACGAGTCTATTCCAATTCTTCTAATTCTATTCGCTGCTCTTTCTAGTATTTTTTTAATAGCGAGTGTCTGGCATATGTTATTAGCTGTTCCGCTTCATAAACTCTAATTAACTTTAATTTTATAAGAAAAAAACACGTATTTAATAATAATTCTGATAGATATGAATAGATATGAAATTTGTTAATTTCTACAAAGATTTCTAAATATTTATGGTTCTTTATATCTAACCGTATTTCATGTGTCAATAGGCGCGCACGATTTCTCGACGTGCTAAAAAGTTCATCAAATGTTTCATTCAGCGAACAATCTGGCCATATTGAGTGCAAGTTAGCACCTTGCCACCTATTAGAACTGCACCGCGGGCCATTTCCGTTGGGCTTGCATTGCATTGTTCGAATTTCGAAGTTCGGACAAAATAGTTATAATGGGCACAGGGGCATAGGCACAGTGGGACGCCACATGCCAGGCAAGAGTTGAAATGGAAGACACAAACAAAACTTGGCATGGGTCGCTCTTACACTTTATATCTATATGTATAATTTGGTACGTGAGCATTGGAATTAGTTGTTGTTTCCTTAAACAATTTTCAGCGTTCAAATGACTGTTATTATGAGAGCTTGGCTCCAAAACTGTGCTAAATGTTTTCGTATCAAATTAGAGCGCTTTGGCATATATTTGCTAGAGCTAAAAACTTCCCACAGTATTCTGGCCTTTATGTTGATGTTGTTGTTGATTGTTGTTTATGTACCTGACTCGGAACAGCTGTGCAACAGGTTTAAGCTTTGGTTTATGTTTATTTCGTTGATGATGAAATAGAACGCCTCAAATGGGCGTTACGCTGACCTAATAAAATGCATGCGGCAGGTCTAAAATGCAGTGTTAGCAGTTAAAACAGCTGATGCGCAGTTTTATGAATTTCACAAAGAGCTGCGAATGCTGCTGCAGAAACAACAACAACAGCCTTAACAATTACAACAATAGCATTTACTCATACATACACACATACATACATATATATGCGAGCGTGTGTGTGTGCAGACAGCTGCAAAAATGAAAACAAAATATAACCAAAAACCACAAAACCCGTTTGAGCGCTGTTGAAAAGAGAGCGGGAGAGCCAGAGAGCGTGCAGAGCAGCTGTTTCATTTTTCTTCTCGTCTTTTTCTTCTAACTCGCGCTCTGCACCTGCACGCATACAACGAAGCGCACTTTTTGTTGTTGTTGCTGTTTACATGCATTTATTTTTGGCTGCTAGCTCAATTGCAAATTGCAAATATCAAATGTTCTAAATGCAGCGTTGCCACACTTTGCGCTTGCAGCAACAGCATCGCAATGTCGCAATTTTTGCTCTGCTGCAGGTGAACTTTGTGCTGGTTTATCTGTTTTTTGTATTTTGGTGGGGATAAATGCTACGACAGCTGCTATTGCTGTTTTGTAATAATATAAAATATATAAAAGAAAAAACTGCTGCTCGATGCGGGCAGCAGCTGCCGGACAGGAAGCGACAGCAACAACATGCTGACGTTGCTTTTGTTGGCCAAGTTTGTTGGGTTCGTCGTCTGGTATTTGGCGCGGTAGCAGCACTTTTTGCTCTTTATGGCAAAAGTAGTCTTCAAAAGCTTCACTTTTTTATCAGGTATATCTAACTTTGTGCTTTGTAAGTTAGAGGGAATGCCAAATGCCCATTGGCTTAGCTTGAATTTGCAGCTCTTATTGACTTTAGCTTATTAAAGCTAATTTTTGTGGGTGAGGTAATAGAGTCAAGAGTTCGCCTTAGTAAATATTTGTTATTTTTTAGTATTAATAAAACAATATGATTAAAAATAAATTCTCGAAGTATTTTCATTCACTACTTACATTATATGTTTTATTTATTATTTTTATACAATTTTAGCTTTATTTTAGCTACTATTCCTACAAATTAGCTATTGGCTTTTTAAAATCTGGCAGCACTGTTGTCAATATTTTTGACTGTCACATTTTTGACCCGCTCCGGGAGAAAACCGTTGATTCAGCTTAAGCACACGCACACAGCTTTACACACACTCGCACACAAACTCTGCTTAGCAGTTGGGTGTGAAATTCTAAAAGTTTGCGCCGCAAATTCTAATCAAGTCAATTTCTACAGCACGTTCCGAGCGGGTGAGAAAATGTCTGCAACTTGAAGTGTGGGAAAATTGATTGCGAAATGGATCAAATTGTGGGAAATGCTTTTCCAATCTAGCGGAAATTGTGCCTGGGCAGCCGGATGCCAACTGCAACTGGACGCTAGCTGTAAATATGTATGGCATGTGCTTGGTCTCTGTGGCAGACGCCTCCACAAGCAACCAGTTAACTGGTTTACCTTTGGCCAAGGATGTTTGGCTGCCATTGGAAAAGTTGTTTGGCCGCTTTTCCACAGCCAAAGCTGGCCAAAAAAATAATGCGAACCAAACTCGTTTGCCAGCCAAATGGCATATCGCGTCGACTTTCTGACTTATATAAGCGCATTTTTTCTTCTTCTAACGGTTCATTTGGTTCATTGCTTGTCGGTTGCACGTTCGATCCGAGCCGATCCGTGCCGCTGCTGGGCAGACGACGCCTTTCAACTTTGGCATTTGAAGCCGCAGCAGTAGCGGCGCCTAAGCTGACAGTCACGACTCTCCATGGAACAAAGTGTGGCATGTTATTGTGGCACATTGCCCACTGCATCGTGGCTCGAGGGTGTGGCACAAAGATATGTCTGCACACATGCACAGACATATTGATAACTATGCCAAGCCACAAGGTATTTGGTCAGCCATCCAATTCATGCAACACTTGCTGTGCGCCAGCAACTTTGATCTTTCAACAAATTGCTGGCAGAGATTTGTATGGCAATTGGATAGGGTATTTAGGCTAGACTTTACTTGGATGTGTGGCATAAAGTTGAACGCAGTGAGAGATATACTATCAAATTATAATTATATGTAATAAGATCTTGGGGGAAGTTGAAGACTTCAAAGTAAATTTCGCAGTCAAACGTTGATCTTTCAAATAGAGTTTAGATATCAAGTGTATGCTCTAAATGATATATAGTTGGCGGTTTATAAAGGAGTGACAGGATATATATCAGAAAACGTAATGGAATGTTTGGCTTTAAAGATTCAATTTAGTTCACCAAAAAATAAATATTTGTTACTCTTTAAATAAAAACCGATAAATTCCCACAGAATCGGACATATTTAATAAACAAATCCACATATTTTAGGTCAATTTTGTTATCAATATAAATAAAGTGCATTTTTCTCTCATGCGCAATATAAATACATCGATATATTTACTTTATGATGAACGCCTCGCCTGGTCTAGCTATCAATTGTCTAGATAAACAGACAGATAAATCGTTAACGGTCTTTTGGTTTGTTTATGTCTCATTTGCAATCATTTTCCCAGGCTACACTCGATGTTGCATGCATCGTGTGGCACGTTGTGCACATGTGTCGTCTATAAGTACGGGGCGACCTTTGCTGTCCCATTCCAATTCCAATTTCAAGTCCCATACCCAGTTCAAGCGTAGCGACATCCTGTTTGCTTTTATTTATATTTTTATATCTATTTTGTGGCACATGTGTCGCTAGATTTCTCTCTGTGCATGTGTGTGTGTTTCTTTAGGGAATTTTGTTCATTTGATTGTGTACATTTGCCAAATGGCTCACAACTAGCTGGCAACACCATGACTAATTCGATTAAGCTGTTCGAAAATTTAGAACAAAACGATGGAAGCTGAACCAAAAACTGCATGCGGCACATGTCAAATACCTTTCAATTAGGTGGCAGCGCCATAACTAATTCGATAAAGCAGTAATTTAGAACAATGAATAGCATGTTGATCTAAAAATGTTAGCATGCTTTTAAAGATTATTTCAGCGTTGTATTTCTCTCTATTGAAAAACTTCGCTGTATTTCTATACAAAATATGTTTTTTTTTTGTATTTGCCAAACATTACTATATTTATATTTATGATCCATACAAGTGCCAACTTATTTAACCCAGAAATAATATTTTTATCAGTTAGCTGCTGCTGTTTTATAGCACATATTATTTATCAACTTTATGATCTATTGACTTTTGGGGAACTGATTGATTGTTAATGATAAACTAAAAGCTAAGTCGCATACAATTGGCGTTCTTAGGGAATTGGGTCAATGAGCTTTATCAGCAGTTGCTGACTGTTTGTGCAGCTGTTTGGGCCGAACAGGAAGTGGAACGGACCCGCTCTCTCCCTGCCACACACTCTCATACTCTCTTTGTAACAGTAATAAAACTTACGATTTGTTCCAGTTCTGTGATGGGCATATTGTTCACGTTGTTGTTGTTGCCCGGTGTTGGTGAATTATGTGAAGCAGCCGAAGAATGCGATGAGGATACGGTCGAAGAGGAGCTGCGCGATGTGGCGCAGTTGCTATGACCTTTGGTCTTGTTACGGGGCGGCGTTGGCGGCGGCACCGGACTGGCCAGAGTTGAGCAATCCTTGGAATTGCGATTGGGCGACAAACGTGAGGGAAAACTCAACGTTTTGGTCCACTGTGCCAAACTGCGTACCATTTTGTTTTTGTTTTTGCTGTTATTGTTGAAATTAAATTCCAAAAGTATTTCTTTTAACTCTTCAATCGCACAGTTTATCTTTACAGTTTCAAACACACATTATTTTGTTTGTATATTTCACAATATTGTGTATTGCACGACGCACGCGCGACTTTGGTTGAATATATTTGCAGTTATTTGCTTTTACTCTGTTATTTTCAGTTTAATGCGCACACGAAATGCGAACCGTTTGCGTCGCTCGCTCGAAAGCAACTGAATGAACGCAGTCGCTGCGCAGCAGAGCTACCCGAGCAGACCCGGTCTCAGTTTCGCTCTCACACAGTGGAAAGCAGCGGCGCAGCACACTGCGCTAACACACATGCGCAGCGCAAAGCAGCTTCGAGCAAGGGAGAGCGCAAGCGACGCATACTCTAGATGCAGTGCAATTTAGAGCGAGAGCGAAACAAACAACAGAAGCAGCGACTGCAACAGCAGCAGAGTTTCCCAAATGGAATCTCTCTCTCTCTCTGATATGTTGCAGTTTTTGTTTTGTCATTCTCTCTGCTAGTTTATGTTGATGAAATGATGAAATTGGCAGCCAGCCAAAGCATTTGTTGTTGTATGTAAAATATTGAGAGCATTTGCTGAATGGTGCGAAAACTATGCAGCCGCTGCATGGATGGCTTGAAACGTAGTTCTTAAAAGGCATTCCAAAGGGGTCAAACTCGTAATGAAATGGTAAAAATATTAGTGTATTTCGAAAGTAAATATGAAGAAATCTATAAACATTTAAAGTTTTGCAATGCTAGTAAAACTAGGTGAGATGGACTTTTTATAGTTTTAATAATGTAAGAAATAATACAAAAATTTATGAACTGTTACGAAAATATTTGAAATGTTCATTTATCTGCCATATACAACATTTAGATACACATCTCCACTTAATGACTTGATTTGAAGTATCTATCGAAGTAGTTTTCTAAATTGTAATACCCTATGTTTATATTGGATAGAATGCAACCCCTAACACTTTCCGCTCAATTTGGCAACAGGACACTCGCGGCGGGTAGCTACAGTAATTGCCATGTTTATATGTTCGCATTTGAAACGTGGTCTAATGATGGCAACAAGCCATTCCTGTTGCAATTACGCAAACGGATCTGAAACGAAGGCAGCTGTTGGCTACCAGGGGACGGGGGCAGTGAAGGGAGTTTGTCAATTATAACGAAACGCACTTCCGTTGGCCACATACCAAAAACCCACGCGAGCATCAATACACACACTCACAAACACACACACACGCGCACACAGAGAGACTTTAAAAAACCGGCAACAACGGCCTTGCCAAGGTTGACTGAGCATGTTGAGCTGTGGCTCGTTGCCGAAAAAAATATGTGGCATAAAACAAAAGCGGGCAACAAGAAAAGTTGTATAGAGAGAGTGCCACAGCAGCTGCTGTCGAGGGAGAGAGAGAGAGAGAGAATGAGCGCAGCAAGATCTCCAGACTTGGCCAAAACAACTCTCGGTCTCTCTATCTCTCTCTATCACTGCTGCTGTTGTCTTCCTCTCTCTTTCTTTCGCTCTCTCTCTCATTTCACATCTCTCTTTTTGCTTAATGGCACAAAAGCCGCTTAGAAGCTCAACGTTGACAGCATTTTCATCTGGTTAGGAAATGGGCCCAGACTTATTATTAAGCTCTGAAAGTTTGAATACCCTGTAAGCAGCGTATAGAGGTGTAGTGCTGTGCTCATATGTAAGCATGAAATCTCCCTCTTTATCAACACTCAAGTAGCTATTGGAAACTCTTATACTCTTTTATTATACTATGCTGTATAAGACTGTATAAGATTGCCTCTCTAGTTTGCCATCAAAGGGTATTTCAACTTCATTATATATTTTTCTGCTCTGTTTGGTTTTTTGGCCAGCTGCTCATTAGCTGACATTGTTGAGGTCCATTCCACATTCCCGCCAATTTCCAAATTCCAGAGCATCTTGACATCACGTGTCGGCCATAACTGTTGCAGATGCATTCCATTGCCAATCAGTGCGAATGAGCATTGTGCATAGGACATTGTGTGGTCGCAGGGAAAATGGAAAATGCAAGCGGGAAACTCTCTCTCTATATATGTATAGATTTATGTGTGTGTGTGTGTGTGTGCCTGGCAGCTGTTTTATTTGGTCGAAACAATGCGCTTATTGACAGTTCGCTAAAGGTGTCGCATGAATTGGCAGACAAAGGACACGGCAAAGCATCCTGTCTCTATATATACCCTGTATAGGCACATTTGATGTATCGAATTTATATATGTGCAATAGAGGAATGCCAGGCGTTAAATAATTTGTTTTCTTTACTTTTTGGAATTTCACATTTGAATATGAAAGATTTTGCATTGTTCGAACTATTACTCATATACATATATATCTACTCTGTAATATGATATATATATTCTATGCAAATACAGCTCTCTTTTAAGAAAATGTTTATTTATTAGCATAGTTATGATATCATGCATGAATCACGTTGATAGCTAGTCGAGAATGGAGCAACAGAAAGTTTCACTTTATCAATTGCCTTATACGATGTTCTTTAGATGTAAAAAAATTGGTAAACTGAACTTACTTAAGAATACTATTCACACTAAATTATACGATGCAATACTATGCTATATACAGTGCTATATACTAAATTAGGCTTTGGCATACATACTATATTATATAATTCTATACAAACCATACTATACTATACTATTCTACTATCTATATATATATATATACTATATATGATATATATATATATATATCATACTATACTATACTATCCTTTATCTTATTACCATATTATACCATACTATCTGATCCTATATCATACTATACTCAACTATACCATAGTATACTAAACTATACTTTACTATCTTATGCTTTTCTATATTTTACTATACTAAAACATACCTTTCTATACCATATATACTGCACCATATTATTCCATACTATAATAAACCTTATACCATATCATACTTTACTCAACTTTAATATATGCAAGTCTTTATTATTTATAACTTTTCTAACAATTTCGTATTATTATTTCCCACTCTGTGTGAATCTGGCAACAGCATTAATTGGCCTTCAGTCTTTATATAATAATCAATTTCCATTCAATCATTAATAATCAGAAAAGAAAAGTGAATGTAAATTTGTTTTACATGTGCTTTTGTCTTGTGAAAAACAAAATTGTTGTGAATTTGTATTTTTCCCAGTCAATAATTAGATGCCAAATTAACATTTAAGTTAATTACAGCGAATTCCAATTTGATGGGGCTCCAAACAAGCTCTATATACTTTATTTCTGTTATACATTTAACAGGTTAAGTACATCCGTTAACAATAAAATATTTCCTCTCCCACAGCCAATCAAAACATGATTTTGTTTAATTAAGAGTTTACGGGCAAGAAAGCAAAACAAAAACAAAAACAAAACAAAATTAAAACTGATGTAATATTAATATTAATAAAATATATTTTAATGCTGAAGAGGGAATACTCTGTAAAACTCGGGTAATGTAGGAAATGCATATAAATATTTTTATGTTCAAAGAGAACTTCGATTTATTGAAATTCAGGGAATTTCTTACTTGTTCATTAAATTTTGTGTATAAGAGTTACATATATTATAATATATATATATATATAAAATATATATAATGGATCTAAAGACGAAAGAATCTTATTTTGATGGAGATACTACAAGGGTAGCGTGATTCGAGTTCTCCTACTTTTTTATTAGTAATATAATTTAATATATATAATATTCTAAGAAGTTGCTCAGAATATTTTAGTTCTGTTTTATATTTACTAAGATCTTTCGCCCTATATGTAAACAGAATGTAGCTGGCTTATATACATATAGACAACTTAAGTTCTCTAGAAGAACTTGACTTAAGATACTCATTAACTATATTTAGGTTATGTGGCACAGCAGATAACATAGCTACATTACATTGCTAAGAGAGTATATAGCAAATTTAATTTATATATATATATATAAACATTTTTTTCGGAAACGTCTCATAAATTGGGAAGGCGTGCGCCTAACCATTAATCTGTTGCATAAACATTTAACATTCAACATTTAACATTCGTAAACAAGAAGTAAGATCAAATATTTGTGGGCAAAGCTGATAAAGTGGCTTTGGCTTATCAAGCCTGCCCCTTGGCTGTGGTCACAACCAGCAATCAGTTTGTCAATTTGTCAGTCCATCAAATGGACCCACATCAGTGCGAAGCGGATCTACCGATAGAGACAGAGCATGGGAATGTATGGCATGGGCGTGTCCTGCTCTGGTCCATATAAACTTTTTTTTTTTTTTTTTTCGTTTTTATTTCTTTATTTTGTTGCAGCTTATTGTCTTAGACTCTATAGCGCATTTAGCTCTAAACCTTAACTAATGGGAGGGCAGATATGCCAATTATTCTGCACTTGTAGCTACTATCTTAATTAGTTCTAATATTGTCTAGAGGATGCAATCTCTTCAGTCTTCGCCTATTGTTGTTTATAGCCAGGTTGCTTGCGAGATGGTTAGGATGCGCTGCAAGTCTGTCCGCGTATCTTGAACTGTGTCGCCCAATGAGTTCAGCAACTGTGGGAATTGCTAAATCCCTATGTAAGACTGAGTTTCTTACAAACCAGCTGGCTCCAGTCCATCTGCGTAGTGCTTTATTCTGCAGGGTCTGAATTTTGTTCCTTGTAGTCTTCGCCGAGGAGCCCCATAGAGAGATACCATATACGAAGGTTGGGACAACTATTGCCTTGTAGATGGCGGCCTTGCTGCTGTAAGACAACTTGCTTGAAGCTCTCAGCATCCAGTCGAGGGTTTTTAGCTTGCTTTTGCATTTTGAGGTTACTTGACTTATGTGCGCTTTAAAAGTCAGCCTTCTGTCAAGAGTGATACCAAGGTACTTTACTTTTGAGGCTTTGGGAATAGTGGGCCCCAATGCAACGCTTGGGCAATCTCCTCTTCTAGTGGCGAAGGTAGTATGTACAGACTTTTGTGCATTAATGGTGATACACCACCGTTTTGCCCAGCGTCCGAAAGAGTCCAGATATTTTTGTAGTGAGTCTGAAGCTTCTTGCGCAGATACGTGACGTGATAAGATGGCGGTGTCATCTGCATAGGTCGCTATGAGTACTGCATCTGTACTTCCTATATTTGGCTCGGGAGTTGGCATATCTCCTGTGAATAAAGTATAAAGTGTTGGG